CGCGAAACGCACTCCTTAGGGGTTGGGTGCAGGAAGGGGGAGTTTCCCCTTCCCCCCGCGCGTAGCGTGGAAGCTTTGACGTTTTATTAAATTATTAGAGAAAGAAGACGATTCGTGGGACCGTTCTCGACTCTATCCTTGTTTGAACCAAGTTCCCTTTCCTCCGCACGTAGCGCGGAAGCTCTGACGTTTCATTAGGTTATTAAAGAAAGAAGACGATTAGACCATTCTCGACTCTTAATCCTTGTCTGAAATCAGTTCCCCAAACCCCCCCCCCCCCTCCCGCGCGAAGCGCGGAAGCTTTGACGCGTTTCATTAAATTATTAGAGAAAGAAGACGATCGATTCGTACGTTGTACCGTTCTCGACTCTAAATCCTTGTCTGAATTCAGTTTTCCCGCTCCCGCGTGAAGTGCGGAAGCTTTGAAGTTTCATTAGATTGTTAAAGAAAGAAAACGATTCGTTATACCATTCTCGACTCTTAATCCTTGTCTGAATTCAGTTTCCTTTCCTCCGCGCGTAGCGCGGAAGCTCTGATGTTTCATTAGAATATTTAAGAAAGAAGACGATTCGATGTACCATCCTCGACTCTTAATCCTTGTCTGAATTTAGTTGCCCCCCCTCCCGCGCGAAGCACGGAAGCTTTGACGTTCATTAGATTATTTAAGAAAGAAGACGATTCGTTGTACCATTCTCGACTCTTAATGCAGTTTCCCCCTCCCCCCTCCCGCGCGAAGCGCGGAAGCTTTGACGTTTCTTTAAACTATTAGAGAAAGAAGACGATTCGTTGTACCGTTCTCGACTCTAAATCCTTGACTGAATTCAGTTTCCCCGTTCCGCGCAAAGCGCGGAAGCTTTCTCCTTGTCTCCGATCTCATCACGAATTCGTCACAGAGTTCATCAATGTTTACATTGTCCAGGATTGTCTAATGTGCATTGCAGATTGCTACTTTTGCGCTTCGTGCTTAACATTATAGCTCGTTGCTTTTTAACGCTGCTTCTTTGCATTTGGCGCATTGCATTTCTATGATGCTGTTGATTGAACAAATTGAATAAATTCATCAATTCCTGATGAAGCCGTATGAGCGAGAATTCAATTTATTCTTGTCTCACATACGGTTGTCTCATTTACTTTGTATATATGTATGTATTATGAAAATGAGATAGCAAAATGTGTATATTGATGGTCATCTTGCGAGTAACAACCATTAACTACTCTCATCGGGCTCTCATCATTAATTTTTCTCTTGATTTTTTTTTTTTTGATGGTGAATTATTGGGGGGGGGGGGGGATGATTGTACAGGCCATCCCCCCCCACCTGAAATATTGGGGGGATATATCCCCCATCCCCCCCCCCCGGATCGACACCCATGGACACAGCCTTATAGGACGGAGTGTAAACACACACGTTTCTCTCTTTAGTGTTCATAATATGATATCAAGGACATACATGTAGTAACGTCACAAAATCAGTGTTTTAACTTGTACTGTTAGCATATTGTAGGCAGGCGCGTACGCACGGGAGATAGGGGTGGTTATAACCCCCCTCAATTTTTTTTTTGAAGAAAAGAATGAATACCCTTACCCCCCCCCCCCTCCCCCCACTAAGCGAAATATCGGTCGGCGCGATTTTCAAATTTCGGGGGGGGGGGGGCAAAAAGAACAACAAATGTTGCTCACTACCCCCCCCCCCCCTCCCCCCACTGATCGAAACATGGGTCGGCGTGATTTTCAAATTTGCAAACACCCTCCTTGAAAAAAAATCCTGCGTACGCCACTGATTGCAAATATTGTTCAAGCTCACCATTGTATTTTGAAAATTGAGATGCCTTGCAGAACTGTCATGTCATGTTCAACAATTTCTTAGAATTCATTTAGGAAAGCTTGATAGTATGTACCTATCTGTAATGCTTGATTGCTGTCTCTCACCAAAGTGTATGACCTCCACTTTCCCTGTTTCTTTCAATAAATATCAATCACGGTTCGTCTCATTTCTTACCAGGGGGGTATTTCATAAAGCTGTTCGTAAGTTACGCACGACTTTACGCACGACTGGTGATATGTTCTTGTGCTACATGTAAATGATTGAGAATCTGATTAGCACCCAAGAACATGTTCCAGTCGTGCGTAAAGTCATGCGTAACTTACGAACATCTTTGTGAAACACCCCCCTGGTCACACTTCAGAGACACCGCCAAAGCGAATACCCACCGACTCCAAACCGACCAGTTTTTGGCCATTCGGAGTAGTGCAATATTTTCAGCGGCGGATCCATGAATTTCTTACCGGGGGGGGGGGGGGCACATCGAATTTAGTGAAGATATGAAAAACGATGGAGCAAACCGTCAGCGGCGAGGGAGCAGAGTGACCGAGCAGAATAGGAGGCATATGCAATTTTAAAACCACATTAGGAGCATTTCAGGCACTTCCTGGAGTAAAATGACGTAAAATTGCTTTCTCCTACTTGTTTTTTTTCTTCTTCTCTTTCCTTTTCTTCTTTGTTTTTCTTTCCCTTTTCCTCTCCTTTTTCCCTTCCCCCCTTTCTCATTTTCCCGACAGCAGCGCAATTTTACCATCAATATCCTGACAGGTGGGGGTATCTCACCCCACACCCCCCTTTAGCGACGCCCCTGGTTGTTACCCCATTATTCTTTTAGAAGAAATGTAATTTCTCATGCTCTCCCACCTCTCTTCTATCGTTGTTTAATTCTCTATCATTTTTTCCTTTTCTCCTATGTTACTCACAACTTTCCTCTCTTTCCCCCTTTTTTCCAGACCTTTCTCTCTTTTTTTTTTTTGGGGGGGGGGGGCAACACGTCTGGCAAGAGGGACCCCATATTGTGCACACTGCGAAATTGCGTAACCCCGCCCCTTTCCTTTGAAATAAAACACCTTCTTATAATATCATCCCCCTTTTTTTTTCTCCCTCTTTTCTCTCCTCCGTCCTTCCCCCTTTCTTCCTTTTCTCTCCTTTCTCTTCCTTTCCCCCTCCGTTTTCTTCACTCCCCTTTTCTTTCCTTCCCATTTTCTTCTTCTTTCTCTTTTTCCTTTTCTTTTCCCCCTTTTTTTCTTTCCCCCTCGTTTTTCTCCTGTTCTCCCTTTTTATTTCCCTTCTTTTTACGGGGGGGGGGGGGGCACGTGCCCCCTGTACCTCCCCCTGAATCCGCCACTGATTTTGTTCGGCCTAATGTCGGTCTCCATGGTGTGACTGGTGATGTATCAGAGCAGACGGGTGAGAAAATTAGTACAAAGGGAAATTTGAGAAAAACAGCAAACTTGAATACTTTTTAGATTAGAGGGGGGGGGGGGGGGGGGAGCGTAGATGTAAAAATGGTATCAACGTCAGACTCTATAAAGGCACCTGAAAAAGCACGAGAAGTGTCCTTTATAATAATACCAACATAAAAATAAGTCGACCTTTCGGGTTTTTCTAGTTTGCATTTTATGCATTCTGGTGTAATTCTTTACCAAGACGTGTGCAACCCCAGAAGTACGAGGCCAGCCTTGTTTTCTAACAAAAAGAATAATTACGAAGATAATTCAACAGGCATGTGGCTATAATCACTCTTCTGTACATGGCGTAGCGTATTGGTTCAAGTAATGATGGGAGGAGGGTAGGATGTGTGGCACTAGATTCGTAAGATGGAGATAGATGTCTCGAGGATTGTGTTATTATCTTTAAAAAGACTTTTTTCCCCCCTTATCTCTCCATCTCTTTCTCACTCTTTTCCTTTCTTTCACTCCTTTTCCCCTCTCTTTCTCTCTATCCTCTTTTTCACTCTCACCCAACACATTTAATCGTCTTCCCCCTCTCTCTACCATTTCTCCATATCTTTATCGTTGTAATGGAAAGAAGGGGCATGTTCCCTAACGCCCTGAGCTACGCGACTGGTCGAAGCGTCTTGAACGCTACAAGAAATATTTGCAATTTCACGACATCATTTTGAAATCTACATCTCCGCTATTCATTTCCCATCCATACAAATATTGATTGGCAAAAACCAACAGACAGTTTTATCTAGTATTAAAGAATAGCCTTTTTATAACACGGGTGGCTCGGCACAATAGAATATGTCTTCTTTTACAATAAGCAATATTTCCATTGTAAAAAGGGAAATTAGGAAATCTGATTCATTATTTTTTTTTAAAGAAACCTCCAGTGTAGCAGATATGGTACACATCGAGACGTGTTGCCCTTAATTTTTCTGTTTTTATGCAATCAACCTGTTACAAAGGTCGGGTTTTGTCCTTTAAGGCGTAATATGACAAGCCTGTATTCCATTTCTTTTAACTTTACCCTTGACTTACTTGGGTTCGCTGTGGGATTTTGTTTTATTGTCAAAGATTTCTTTCATTTTCTTTCAAGAGACTACAAATCATTTCTCGTTTTTTCTTACTTCAAATCGTCTTTAGGCCGAATCCACAAAGTTAAAAGAATCAACTGATCGAAAACATATTTTTCAATGCCCCGCTATCTTCATCTTTTTTTTTCTCAAGGTTTTTTCTTATTCATCATTTCTGTCCATATCTCTCTCTCTCTCTCTCTCTCCCTCTCTCTCTCTTCCCCTCTCTTTCTCTCTCTCCCTCTCTTCCCCTCTCTTTCTCTATCTCCTTTTCTCTTTCGCTCTGCCCATCTCTCATCATAACCACATCGATATAGTCACATGACCATCTTTATGTTCGGTAGTCCTATCATATCTTTCGATTCCGATTCAAGATAAAAATGCTGTCTTGACCAATGAATTCGTAGGTGCTCTACCAATTTTTATTTTTGTTGGAATATTTGTTTTTGATAAAATAATAATAATAGTAAGAAAGCAAACAGTTTATAAGACAGGATATTTTGGAAGTGAAACAGTCTTTGCAATCTTCATCAACGGAGTCACACGGTTCGTCTTCGCATCGACCCGCTGTTCAGCTAAGACTTCGAAAATTTTTGTTTTTTGGAAAGAGAAAGTCGACAAACTAGCAAGTTTGTAAATCAATCATCAATGACCATTATGGCCATGTTTATCAATGGCAATACGACAGATTTGTTTCTGGCGCAAACAGATTTCGTGACTGAAATCGTGACCGATGTAACGGATACTGATGAGAGACGAGGTCTCTACGCTCTATTCTTACCCTTGCTGTTGGTGACTTCGATCATCACCACCAACGGCCTCAGCCTGGCCGCGTTCGCCGTCGAGAAGCGGCTTCGAGGCTACAACAACTACTTCATCATCAACCTCACCATTTCTGACTTTCTTTTCGGGTTCGTCCTGATCATCACGTCCATGCACACCTACCTCGGCCGCTTTCCACTCCAGAGTAACAACTGGTGTAGGGTCTTCTACGGTGTCTTCAGCAGTGTTCAGTTTGTGTCCAATCTGGTCATTGTCATCATCTGCCTCGACCGACATCGCGCAACGTACGACCCCATCGGGCATTTCACTAGTCGTAGCAAGCGCAAGGCGCTGTACGTGAACATCGGCGTGTGGGTAGCTTCGGTTCTTTTCTGGTTCGCCTTCTCGACGATTCCCGACTTCCTCCTGCGGTTCAACAACTCGCCTGTGTGCTTCGCCTGGCATTTCGTGAACCCGTTCGCCCAGATTCTGCCAGTCTTCATCCGGTTCATCATCCCGTTCACCGTCATGTTTTTTCTCTACGTGCGTATCTTCATCAAGATTCGAGAGGCGACCGGTAGTAAGCACATCGACAAGGAGTTCGATGGCGACAGCAAACAGTCGGGGCACAGCGAATCGGAGGATGATGGCGATAGGAAGAAACATCGCTCTCAAGCTATCGCAGAGTCTGTGAGTATTCAGCCACGCCTCACCTTTTTATAATTATAGTTCCGAATTGGCGAATTGAAATTGTTCATCAACACCTAATAAGAGAATTGAATTTGACTGCAAGTGTAAAATGTATACCTCGTTAGATTGTAAAACCGGAGAGCTTATACTTTTGTTTACCATTATGAAATCTAAGTTGTAGATAGTCGATTTCAATTACGGGGTGTCATTTTGATTGCGTTAAGCCTATATCTACCAGGCTACCATTATCAAGTATACAAATATTGACTGCTCATGAGGATGATGGTGGGAATTATCACTCCCAAGGTGGTGTTCATACCGGCCCTTCTATCACCCCTAAGGCGAAGCAAAAGTTGCGGAGGGGTTAGGAGTACTATCCCAAGGTTTTCGAGTACTATCACATAGGCCCGAATTCACAAAATAAAGGAGGTTTGTCGACAAACCTTGGTTTTCGTGCGTCATATGACGCGTTTTTGACGCGTTTTGACGAACCAGGTTTGTAAAAAAACGCGTAAAAACGCGTCATAATTTTGACGTACGAAAACCAAGATTTGTCGACAAACCTCCTTTGTGAATTCGGGCCATGGCATTGGGTTTGATAGAACGCCCAAACCCTCTGACGCAATGATAGATCGAGATGCTCCTTGTCATGTGATATAGTTTTGACCAATCAGTGAATGGCAATCTATGTATGAGGTATATAACATGTGATTGCAATAGGTATTGCACATAATGTTTGCAGTGATAGTTTAGCTCTAAGTTTTTGTCATGGCTATCACTATCACATGGCGCGTCCAGACCGCACCAGTCACTGACGAAGTTTCAAGTCGGGCAAATGACATTTGTTTACAACGGGCTTAATGTTAAAGTAGATATTCATTGATTTTAAAAACTAAATTTATTTTCATTATTGCAAAGTTGAAACTTTGATTCGATAAGGTTATCAAAATTCAATGCTTGGAAGATTTAAAGTTAGGATTTTTATAAATTACAAAACGCCTATATACAGTCCCAGCAAAACACCTGTAGACCTCTCCGAACGCTGCTTAGATGTGTGAGATCACAATATGGACATGATTTGCACATTTGTCCCATGACATCTTACACATTTTCAGTGCGCGTTTTTTTAATCTTCTCTTGAGTTCTTTCTCTTTCTTCACTACCGTCAGGCTTAATGTATAATCTATCGCCTCACTCTAAACCCCGCGCATGGTTTTTCTTTCATGACAAATGCAGCGATACAAAAATAAATGAATCTGTCGCTTGTAAGCAAAATAAGACGCCATTGTATACGTTTCAAGAGGGAATAAATGCCGTCCTTAGTATCATTCCGGGGTTTTTTCAATTTGAAAGTGTGGTTTCTTTGATTGTTAATTAACCCCTATCCGGTGTATTTACAAGCAAAAGATTTTAGTTATCAGAATCGGGTCATATCCCCTTTTGAATGGTTTGACATGCCATTACATTATATACAATAAACTCATTATAATTTGACAAATGATAGCTTTGCAATTATGTTCATTCTTTATGGGTTGTCGTCTGCTTGGGCAGTATTGGTCCATATAGTGACGTCATTAAAACATTGTTATTTTTCCGGCGAATCTCCCGTATATCCCAGCTGCTATGGAGGTGGTTGTATTTGTATTTGTATAAATCACCCGATATGTAGTTGACCTAAAACTTGTACGATGGCCATCTGCTAGCTTACCAGTTTCCAGTGATACATTAGTTGACATATTTGTGATTTTCTTTGAATTTCACCTTTAACGCATTTCATTTGCCCGGTGGCCATTTCCTGCATTAATAACGAAAATGTAATTTAAGTTTATAATTTTTTTCTTGCATTTCTGTCTTTCTATATTAGGGAGTTCAGAAAGTAGCTAAGCGCGAATCTGCCTCAGAGATTCGCAGCGCCACCAAGACCTTGTTCTTCATCGTCATCGTGTTCTTCATCTCGTGGTTCCCATCTTCTGTTATTTCGATTGTTTACTCTATCGAGCCAACGATCGTCTTTCCGCGGCTTCCTTCATGGGCTTTTCTGTTAATCGGTTGGTTAGTTTATGTGACCAGTCTACTCAATCCGCTCTGCTACGCAATCTCTCAACCGCTCTTTCGGAAGACGGTCCTCGGTTTGCTTAGCAACCCGATGCGTTATTGCCGAGGGTAATCGAGCCAGTGCTGTCTATCCGCGGTTTCCCAATTTTTTTAAAACTTCATATCCAATTGGATGGTCTACGTCAATTATTTACAAAATGTTCTCTAATTCTCAACTGCTCTTTCCAAAGACCCCCTCGGTCTGTTCTGTCATCATAATAGCGCTATAGCCGAAATAACGTTGTTCAAGTCACTGAATAAGCCAGTAAATAATATACTTCTGTGTGATGATGAAATCTTACCGGTTTTTGTGTGTGGGTGTGTATGTGTGGGTGTCTTTTACGTATCACACGTTAATTTCCCCTTGAAAGCCTCAGATTTGAATTTTGTAGCAATCCGTATCTATTTGCGCAAAGTACTAATTCAAAAAGTCTGTTGCAATGTACATACTATTCTAATCGCATTATTAAATGATATGATCACTTTTAAAAAGGTACTATATATATATATATATATACGTTGTTTATTTAAAAAAAATAGAGTTATTCGGGAATTATTGAAATTTGAAATATCTTCAAATTGGAAAGTTGACCAGTCTATAGTAAATTTATTTTTATCATCTGCATAGTGTTTTTGTCAAATCCAGTTTTTTATGAATGAAAATGTGAATGTGAATGAGATGCACAAATTCGGCGTGACGTTGTCCATAGTGGGTACATAATACAATGTATACACTAGGTGTCATAGACATAAAACCTGTCGGTCAATTCGATAATGTAAAGGCTGTTGAAATATCGCAAGTTGATGGCGCCCACGCCTTGTGCTTGTTTATTTGAAAAGAAGTTGACCGCGGAAGCTTTTACATTTCATTAAATTACTAGGGAAAGAATACGGTTCGTTGTACCATTCTCTACTTTTAATCCTTGTCTGAATTCAGTTCCCCCTCCCGTGCGAAGCGCGGAAGCTTTTACGTTTCATTAAACTATTATTCTTAATCCTTGTCTGAATTCATTTTCGCCCCTCCCGCGCAAGCTTTGATATTTCATTTAATTACTAGAAAAAGAATACGATTCGTTGTACTGTTCTCGACGCTCAATCCTTGTCTGAATTCACTTTTGCCGCGCGGAAGCTTTGACATTCGATTTAAATTACTAGAGAAAGAATACGATTCGTTGTACCGTTCTCGACTCTAAATCCTTGTCTGAATTCACTTTTGCCGCGCGGAAGCTTTGACATTTCATTTAAATTACTAGAGAAAGAATACGATTCGTTGTACCGTTCTCGACTCTCAATCTTTGTCTGAATTCACTTTTGCCGCGCGGAAGCTTTGACATTTCATTTAAATTACTATAGAGAAAGAATACGATTCGTTGTACCGTTCTCGACTTTCAATCCTTGTCTGAATTCACTTTTGCCGCGCGGAAGCTTTGACATTTCATTTAAATTACTATAGAGAAAGAATACGATTCGTTGTACCGTTCTCGACGCTCAATCCTTGTCTGAATTCACTTTTGCCGCGCGGAAGCTTTGACATTCGATTTAAATTACTAGAGAAAGAATACGATTCGTTGTACCGTTCTCGACTCTCAATCCTTGTCTGAATTCACTTTTGCCGCGCGGAAGCTTTGACATTTGATTAAAATTACTCGGGAAAGAATACGATTCGTTGTACCGTTCTCGACTCTAAATCCTTGTCTGAATTCACTTTTGCCACGCGGAAGCTTTGACATTCGATTTAAATTACTAGAGAAAGAATACGATTCGTTGTACCGTTCTCGACTCTAAATCCTTGTCTGAATTCACTTTTGCCACGCGGAAGCTTTGACATTTGATTTGAATTACTAGAGAAAGCAACGATTCGTTGTACCGTTCTCGACTCTCAATCTTTGTCTGAATTCACTTTTGCCGCGCGGAAGCTTTGACATTTCATTTAAATTACTAGAGAAAGAATACGATTCGTTGTACCGTTCTCGACTCTAAATCCTTGTCTGAATTCACTTTTGCCGCGCGGAAGCTTTGACATTTCATTTAAATTACTAGAGAAAGAATACGATTCGTTGTACCGTTCTCGACTCTAAATCCTTGTCTGAATTCACTTTTGCCGCGCGGAAGCTTTGACATTCGATTTAAATTACTAGAGAAAGAATACGATTCGTTGTACCGTTCTCGACTCTAAATCCTTGTCTGAATTCACTTTTGCCGCGCGGAAGCTTTGACATTTGATTTAAATTACTAGAGAAAGAATACGATTCGTTGTACCGTTCTCGACTCTCAATCTTTGTCTGAATTCACTTTTGCCGCGCGGAAGCTTTGACATTTCATTTAAATTACTTTAGAGAAAGAATACGATTCGTTGTACCGTTCTCGACTTTCAATCCTTGTCTGAATTCACTTTTGCCGCGCGGAAGCTTTGACATTTCATTTAAATTACTATAGAGAAAGAATACGATTCGTTGTACCGTTCTCGACGCTCAATCCTTGTCTGAATTCACTTTTGCCGCGCGGAAGCTTTGACATTTGATTTAAATTACTAGAGAAAGAATACGATTCGTTGTACCGTTCTCGACTCTCAATCCTTGTCTGAATTCACTTTTGCCGCGCGGAAGCTTTGACATTTGATTAAAATTACTCGGGAAAGAATACGATTCGTTGTACCGTTCTCGACTCTAAATCCTTGTCTGAATTCACTTTTGCCGCGCGGAAGCTTTGACATTCGATTTAAATTACTAGAGAAAGAATACGATTCGTTGTACCGTTCTCGACTCTAAATCCTTGTCTGAATTCACTTTTGCCGCGCGGAAGCTTTGACATTTGATTTGAATTACAAGAGAAAGCAACGATTCGTTGTACCGTTCTCGACTCTCAATCTTTGTCTGAATTCACTTTTGCCGCGCGGAAGCTTTGACATTTCATTTAAATTACTATAGAGAAAGAATACGATTCGTTGTACCGTTCTCGACTTTCAATCCTTGTCTGAATTCACTTTTGCCGCGCGGAAGCTTTGACATTTCATTTAAATTACTATAGAGAAAGAATACGATTCGTTGTACCGTTCTCGACTTTCAATCCTTGTCTGAATTCACTTTTGCCGCGCGGAAGCTTTGACATTTCATTTAAATTACTATAGAGAAAGAATACGATTCGTTGTACCGTTCTCGACGCTCAATCCTTGTCTGAATTCACTTTTGCCGCGCGGAAGCTTTGACATTCGATTTAAATTACTAGAGAAAGAATACGATTCGTTGTACCGTTCTCGACTCTCAATCCTTGTCTGAATTCACTTTTGCCGCGCGGAAGCTTTGACATTTGATTAAAATTACTCGGGAAAGAATACGATTCGTTGTACCGTTCTCGACTCTAAATCCTTGTCTGAATTCACTTTTGCCGCGCGGAAGCTTTGACATTCGATTTAAATTACTAGAGAAAGAATACGATTCGTTGTACCGTTCTCGACTCTAAATCCTTGTCTGAATTCACTTTTGCCACGCGGAAGCTTTGACATTTGATTTGAATTACTAGAGAAAGCAACGATTCGTTGTACCGTTCTCGACTCTCAATCTTTGTCTGAATTCACTTTTGCCGCGCGGAAGCTTTGACATTTCATTTAAATTACTAGAGAAAGAATACGATTCGTTGTACCGTTCTCGACTCTAAATCCTTGTCTGAATTCACTTTTGCCGCGCGGAAGCTTTGACATTTCATTTAAATTACTAGAGAAAGAATACGATTCGTTGTACCGTTCTCGACTCTAAATCCTTGTCTGAATTCACTTTTGCCGCGCGGAAGCTTTGACATTCGATTTAAATTACTAGAGAAAGAATACGATTCGTTGTACCGTTCTCGACTCTAAATCCTTGTCTGAATTCACTTTTGCCGCGCGGAAGCTTTGACATTCGATTTAAATTACTAGAGAAAGAATACGATTCGTTGTACCGTTCTCGACTCTCAATCTTTGTCTGAATTCACTTTTGCCGCGCGGAAGCTTTGACATTTCATTTAAATTACTTTAGAGAAAGAATACGATTTGTTGTACCGTTCTCGACTTTCAATCCTTGTCTGAATTCACTTTTGCCGCGCGGAAGCTTTGACATTTCATTTAAATTACTATAGAGAAAGAATACGATTCGTTGTACCGTTCTCGACGCTCAATCCTTGTCTGAATTCACTTTTGCCGCGCGGAAGCTTTGACATTTGATTTAAATTACTAGAGAAAGAATACGATTCGTTGTACCGTTCTCGACTCTCAATCCTTGTCTGAATTCACTTTTGCCGCGCGGAAGCTTTGACATTTGATTAAAATTACTCGGGAAAGAATACGATTCGTTGTACCGTTCTCGACTCTAAATCCTTGTCTGAATTCACTTTTGCCGCGCGGAAGCTTTGACATTCGATTTAAATTACTAGAGAAAGAATACGATTCGTTGTACCGTTCTCGACTCTAAATCCTTGTCTGAATTCACTTTTGCCGCGCGGAAGCTTTGACATTTGATTTGAATTACTAGAGAAAGCAACGATTCGTTGTACCGTTCTCGACTCTCAATCTTTGTCTGAATTCAGTTTTGCCGCGCGGAAGCTTTGACATTTCATTTAAATTACTATAGAGAAAGAATACGATTCGTTGTACCGTTCTCGACTTTCAATCCTTGTCTGAATTCACTTTTGCCGCGCGGAAGCTTTGACATTTCATTTAAATTACTATAGAGAAAGAATACGATTCGTTGTACCGTTCTCGACGCTCAATCCTTGTCTGAATTCACTTTTGCCGCGCGGAAGCTTTGACAGTTTATTTAAATCACTGGAGAAAGAATACGATTCGTTGTACCGTTCTCGACTCTAAATCCTTGTCTGAATTCACTTTTGCCGCGCGGAAGCTTTGACATTTGATTTAAATTACTAGAGAAAGAATACGATTCGTTGTACCGTTCTCGACTCTCAATCCTTGTCTGAATTCACTTTTGCCGCGCGGAAGCTTTGACATTTGATTAAAATTACTCGGGAAAGAATACGATTCGTTGTACTGTTCTCTACTCTTAATCCTTGTCTGAATTCACTTTTCCCCTTCCCATCCCACGCGTGTGTTGAAACTCATCATTGTCATTGGTCGCTTTTCATATTGATGACTTTACAAATGTGATTTAAAAGTTTTACTTCTTCTGATGGAAAAACAAAATATGTTATACTTTTTCGTTTGAATAACATTTCCAACAAAGTAACGCAGAAATGGAAAATAGAAGGCTTAGATTTCATGCATGCGTTTTAAGGTCTCAATAAAGCTGTTGAATAACTCAGAAAAATGACTTTTATAAATGCCTTCATAAATTAGGGAGTTTTTAAATCGTTCACATTATGTCGCGGCAAAACCAAGGCGTTTTTTTTTCTTGTTTTAATGAAGACGTAAAGTGTACTACGATTCATATTTCTGTATCTGAACTCGGTAAAGGCCTTCGGGGCGCGCAGTTGCCATGAATTCATTTATATTATTTTTAAAAAAAAGTAAAAACCGCCAAATTCTTGATTTCGCATTAAAGTAAAAGAGTTTAATATTAGCGTTGAATCTTTCCCATTTTAACTGGGTCGCATGAAATAGATCCCTTTTTAGGCAAATATGGCATGAATAAAGCGAAAGAGAGGAAACGAAAACGACTTACCCGATACATTTTCTTAGCCTGATCAGACTAATTGTGAGGTTCCGGACAGCACCCCCTCTCCGTAATACAATAATACTTAAACTGCCCAGTAAAATAATTTCGAAAGAACATTATTTTACTTCAATGATAGGGGATCGTAGTCATGATACCCTATCAGTCTATGATGAAACTGTATATATATATTTAACAATACTTGGTATGCAGTAGTTATGTTAATTTATTTCATGATATTAAATGATTTATTTTGTGTATGTTATTTTTCTCTCAATATTGTTTGTGTTATCATTAGGACCACTCTGTGCTGTATTATTGCACGTGACTGTGAGCAGGGAGGTTCTTCCAAAATCATTATGTCATTATATGCTTTTATATTCAGTGAATAAAACGGATTCAGTTCAATAAATCGACACTATAAATGCATCCCAATAGATGTACATACATATTACGTCTAAATAACCCTTAGACCGTAGGCTAATCAAGGAATGCAGAAATATGTTTATTCTTTTAATGTCTTGTATTGTGCCAATTGATCTATATGTATATAAATATGTGAATATGTTAAAATGTACCATCATTGTAAATATGAACGATTGAAAGAGGAAAAATAAATGAATTGAATTGAATTGAATTGAATTGAATATGATTTTCCCTGTAAATACTATAACTATACATTTTAAAAATATCTGTTGAATATTGTGTTTATCAATAAAACAAATCGAATGAAATGAAAGAGACATTTATGCTCGTGTTACGTCATTTATAGCGTATGTGTAACGTCATTTATAGCGTATGTGTAACGTCCCTCACCCCCGTGATGCCCCATCATACCATAACGTTAACGTACGGTACCGTATATCTAACTCTAGACTTTAATTAACAACGTGTTGATATTTCTTCTTCTTCTGTTATTGTTAATCTTCAAAGGGAAATACAGCGGCTTGCAGCCTATCACGAAGATCTGTAGAAAGGTAACCAGTTGTGTATGCAGGCACACTGGTAACCACCGGGATTACACCCTAATTTGACCAAGAACATCCTTGAAAAAGACACGACTTTAATACCAAATTATTGAACCGAAAAAGTTACATTACATCTCAAGTCCAATTAAAAACATATCCAATCAAATGGTAATCTCGAAGAATTAATAGACCTGCAAAATCTCGACAAAACATGACGTCACAAAACGCGTGCGCGCTAGGCCTCTAACAAAGACTTGTTTATGACGTCATAATGCAGTGAGTTTCCTGCGCAGTTTGCAGTTACATGGCGCAAACGGATGACGTAGCAGTACACGTACTGTGTACAGGAATGCGCACTGTACTACTGTCATAAACATTGTGCCACAGATACAAAACACAAATACCGATATAATATAAAAGCAACATGCAAAGAAAAGCTGCATATCACTTTCAAAGAGGGTCGTAGAAAATTTGCAGACTTATTTTAGTTATAAGGGAACAAAGTTTGAAAGGGGTCTCAAGAATGGCGAGTGCTACTGCGGTTCGCTCCCTAGAACCAACTCCCCTTTCGTACTACGATACACGAGGACGGTAAGATTATGTTGAGCTTTTCCGATAACTTTATTGTACAAAACTGCAAACATTGTATAAAACTATACTGCTAAGATCGAAAAAGTCAAAACGGCATACATTTTTCTTCTTTCTTCTTCTTCATCTTCTTCTTCTTCTTTTCGGATTGTCAGTAAAGTTTGGACTTATGCAACCCCACTGCCAAAATCCTACTACTTAAGGCCATCTCTGTGTCTCGTACCAGATGATGTTGATGATGATAGAGATGATGATGATGGTGGTGATAATGAAGTTGATGACGTTGTTGGTGATGCTGCCGATGCTGTTTTTGATGATGGTGATGACGAATAGGTTGACTATAATGGTGACGATGGTGATTTGAAATCCCCACTTTTTAAGCGCTCACTCTTGAGGCATCTCCTCTTTGAGGGAGGGGGGGGGGGGGGGAGGGGGGTTGGCACAACCCCTTATACATTCGACAGGTATAGTGGGCTTTTCATGTCTATTTAAAGGCCACATCAGCCAACATTCCACACTAATAAACTGCAGAAAATACATATTTTTTAAAAGTAAACCTTTGTCATTTTCATTATTATTTGCAGAGTTATTGGTGAAGTGAGGTCGAAATGGGACGCCGAGCTGACTAACTATCAGACGGACTTCACGGCCAAGACCATTGTGCTACGTCAAAAACGGCCCACGTCTAGTAACAGGAAGAACAAACCCCACCCTAAACATGTCGCCCACCTTCGAAGGTTGACTAATGAGGTATGTATTTGATTCCCCCTTCCTTTACATAGCTATAAACCATCCTCCCACTGATCGTCCTATATCGAAACATGTAACCTATTTAACTTACCCAAACCCGCACCCCCTTCTTTATCATGTCTTTTCTTTCTCTATTCCCCCCTCTCTCTCTCTCTCATTCCTCTCGCTATCTCTCTCTCTGTTTCTCTCTACTTTTTTCATCTCTCTCTCCTTTCATTTCATTTAAGTACCTCATATTATTTCCTCTCCCCTTCTCTTCTCCCGGGTCCCCCATGTATCCCTCACCCCACTCTCTCTCTCTCATCCTCCCTCCCTTCCCTTCCTTCTCTCTATCTATCTTTATATATATATCTCATCCTCCCTCCCTCCCCCCTCTCTCTCTCTCATCCTCCCTCGCCCCTCTATATATTGTATCTGTTCTTCTCTCCCCACTCTCATTAATCCATTTGAATCATCATCTCATCGCTCACCTAATCCTCCCAGCCTGTCTGTACAGTGACGACTGTCATCAGCCAGATCGACCCCTCGCCATCGGGATCATTGTGGATGCAGTCGTTCATGAATGCTCAGTTCAAGCTCCCGTCGACCACGCCAGGAAGGACCACCCGGTTCGGATGCAACAAGAACAAGCATCTCTTCGCTTCGGGCATCGGTGAGAATAACCGTTTGGCAGAAATTTTCCCCCAAAATATCATTAAAATTATGAGAGCCGCCTTTGGTTTGCTATATACCGCGTGTGCATAATTTGTATGCACCTTCTCCGAGCGCTACTGCATGCATGTATCAAACCAAATACTTCTAATTCTTAATACTGGCATTTAGAATTCCAAGTCACTCTTTCTACTGTTCGTTAAAAATGTTTGTCGCTATATCAGGTATTCATTATTTTGTAGCGTGGTATTATGCGAAAACATGTGATGATATTGTGAGCAACTGCCACTATAGGTTGAGCTGAATAATACATTTTAAATATGCATTCAAATTTATATAGGATTTTCTTAGCTCACGTACCTGTTATGTATTTAAATAATGCCATAATGCGAATCGCATAAATTAGTCGCATGCTAGGTAGGACACATATCATACGCCCATACCAAAATGTCATGCATGCAATTTGCATTCTGGCTCTTGAAATACAGTTATTATCCGTAACAGGTGAATGGACTAATTTGTAACGAGTCACTTCACAAAGATGTGTGCATACATTTTGATAAAATAACGAAAATATCCTATTGTGTGCTTCGTTGTCACATGATTATATGTGATTCAATGCGAATGTCGTCTGCTCGGTAAGACGTTGCTATGGCAGACAGGTCTCTGACAAACTGTCAAATGCACTATTTGTAGAAAGTTTAGTTACGTTCTTGTGCATAAGTTTTAAATTTTCTTGGGGGGAAAATAAGACATGTGGGAAATAATAAACTTAAAACTTTGAACTTTGAACTTGTCGTGTATGTTGCAGTGCCAACCCATGCAAGGCGTACAGACGAGAAAGAGGAACCATTACTACCATCGTGCGCACAGGTAGGTTTCCATTTCTATTCTACTCTTTGTTGTGGGGGTGGGGGTGGGGGGGGGGGGGGGGTTGTCTTTTTCCTTTTCTCTCGGTGCAGAAGAATTTAATTGTGCATATACACCGTTAGGAATAGCTAATAGTATTACAAATTATTACAGTGGTAAGGAATTTGTTTTTATAGTATCAATATTTCAATATTTATTAAAAAAAAACTTAATCCGATCATACATGTTTTTTAATTTTTCCGCCTTTCCTTCTTCATGTCCTTTTCTTCCCTCTTTCGTTATTCTCCTTTCCCTTCTTCCATCGACATCCTCTCAATCACCTCTTCTCCTCCTCCTTCCTTTCTTCTTATGCTGCTCCTCCTCCCCTTCTTCCTTTTCTCGTTCTCCTTTCCTCGCCATTTCTTTTTATGCTCCTTCTCCTCCCTCTTTTTCGTCATCTACTTCTTTTATTTCTTCTTCTTCTCGCCCTCCTTTTCTCACCGTTTCTTTTTATGCTCCTCCTCCTCCCCCTTCTTCGTCATCTTCTTCTTCTTCTCGTCCTCCTTTACGCACCGTTTCTTTTCATGCTCCTCCTCCTCCCCCTTCTTCGTCATCTTCTTCTTCTTCTCGTCCTCCTTTTCTCACCGTTTCTTTTTATGCTCCTCCTCCTCCCCCTTCTTCGTCATCTTCTTCTTCTTCTCGTCCTCCTTTTCTCACCGTTTCTTTTTATGCTCCTCCTCCTCCCCCTTCTTCGTCATCTTCTTCTTCTTCTCGTCCTCCTTTACGCACCGTTTCTTTTCATGCTCCTCCTCCTCCTCCTCCTCCACCTTCTTAGTCATCTACTCCTTCTTTTTTCTTCTTCTTCTCGTCCTCCTTTCCCCGCCGTTTTCGTATGCTCCTCCTCCTTTCCTCGCCGTTTTTGTATGCTCCTCCTCCTCCTCTTCCCCCTTTTTTTCAACTACTCCTTCTTTTTCCTTCTTCTTCTCGTCCTCCTTTCCTCGCCGTTTCTTCTTACGCTCCTCCGCCTCCCCTCCTTCGTCATCTACTTTTTCTTCTTCTTCTCGTCTTCTTCTTTCCTCGTCATTTCTTTTTATGCTCCTCCTCCCCCTTCCCCTTCTTCGTCATCTACTTCTGTTTTCTTTTTCTTCTCGTCCTCCTTTCTTCGTCGTTTCTTCTTACGCTCCTCCATCTCCTCCTCCTCCCCCTTTTCGTCATCTACTTCTTCTTTTATCTTCTTCTTCTCGTCCTCCTTTCCTCACCGTTTCTTCCCCTGTCTCCTATCCTCTGCCGCGATGCTTCATCTCATTTCACTCTTCTTTATTCATAACCTAGAAATCAATCATGATGACAAGCTCCAATCCCTTTCAATACGTCCCAAGAAAACGGAAAATAACCCCAACAATTCTTGGTAAGTTGACCATCAATTTTCAGATTGTAGTCGTTTCATTCAACGGCGTATATGAAACAATATTGCGTGTTTTGTCTATTACAGCGTTGGATATCACAGAAATTGAGATTATAGAAGATCCATTATACGGAGCCTCTAAATTATAGCATTCCTATAGCGCCTAAACAGAACACTCTTTAAAGATTGTTAAAAAAAATAAAAAAATTTCAACTCAGACGCCACGTTTTGTTTCGCGCAGTTGTGTTAGAGGAAGAGAAAGAGATAGAGAGAAAAAAAGAGAAAAAGAGAGAGATAGAGAGAGAAAGAGCGCGAAAAAAGGGGGGGGGGGGGTTATAACTGCAACAGACTTTCTGTTGATTTTAAGAGTATTTCAAATTTGTTTTATGCTCATCAAAATCAGATTGGCAGATTTCGATAACATTACATAACCTAGGTAAAAAAAAAAAAAGTTCCTCTCAAGATTTTAAACAGTTCGACAATTTCTAGTAATCGTAGCGCAAATAAATATTATCTACAATTTCTTTTCAACAGATGAGAGCATTGTTCTTGAACCGCCCCCACCCGATAAGATCCCTCTCGGGAAGCCGACCCGGTGGAAGACATCCAAGAGACTGGTGGGGAGCGCTCCAGCAGCAACGCTTCAGGTAGGTTTAAAGTAGATATTCATTGATTTAAAAAAAACTAACTTTATTTTCATTATTGCAAAGTTGAAACTTTGATTCGACAAGGTTATCAAAATTCAATGCTTGGAAACATTCGAAGTAATGATTATTATAAATTACAAAACGCTTAAATACAACCCCGGCATAGCACCTGATGAGCTCTCCGAACGCTGCTGAGATGTGTGAGATCACAGTATGGACATGACTTGCACACGCAGACGATGTCCCATGACATCTCACACATTTTCAGTGCCTGTGTTTTCATCTTCTCTCGAGTTCTTTCTCTTACTTCAGTACCGTCAGGCTAAATGTATAATCTATTGCCTCACTCTAAAACCCCGCGCATGGCTTTATTTTGCTGAAAAATGCAGCGATACAAAAATAAAAGAATCTGTCGCTTGTAAACAAAATAAGACGCCATTGTATATTCAGCTGCACACACCGGGGTATGTTCGGTGTTTCAAGAGGGAACAAATGCCGTCCTTAATGTCATTCCGGGGGGTTTTCAATTTGAAGTTCTGGTTTCTTTGATTGTTAATTAACCCCTATCCTGTGTATTTACAAGCCGAAAAGATTTTAGTTATCAGAATCAGTTCATATCCCCTTTTGAATGGTTTGACATGCCATTACATTTATATGCACTAAACTCATTATAATTTGAGAAACAATAGCTTTGCAATTATGTTCATTCTCTACGGGATGTTGTCTGCTTGGGCAGTATTGGTCCATATAGTGACGTCATTAAAACATCGTTATTTTTCCGGCGAATCTCTCGTATATCCCAGCTGCTATGGAGGTGGTTGCATTTGTATTTTTATAAATCACCCGATATGTAGTTGACCTAAAACTTGTACGATGGCCATCTGTTAGCTAACCAGTTTCTAGTGATACATTAATTGAAATATTTGTGATCTTCTTTGAATTTCACCTTTAAGTCCCACTGCACAAGTATAGCTACTTGCGCCCTCTATATATATATATATATATATATATATATATATAGCAAACAATGCCTAATCGGTGCTTGTTGGTCTCCCATGATCCCCTTTTCTTACGTTAATTGAGAGCTGATTTGATGAGATAACCACCTGTCAGTGACCTTGCAGGGAGGTCTAATCCCCCTGGCTAAACTAGTGCAGACGGGCCTTTAAGGGCAATCCGACCCATTTGAATAAATGGAGACAAATTAAACACACAGAACAGTGAAATCTGTTTGTAAGATTTTTCTCTACTCATTCAATTCAATTTGCAAATGGGTCGGACTTGCCCCTTAAGGGTGAAGTGTACTACTTACGGTGGCACACGAGGCGTTATTTGCCGACATACATACAGTTTAGTTCTACCAGGGGGGGGGGGGGGGGGGGGGGGTACATGTAGAGGTATTTTCCCCACCCCGTCATCTTCATGTTTACTACTTTTGTTTTAGCTTTTTGTATGGGTAGACAAGGATTTAGTTGGACATAACGTCACATATCTGGGCCCCGCTCCATAAAACTTACCATTGATGGTAACTTTGCCGTCAATGGCAACTACCATGGTAACAGGGCTCAACAGCCAATCAAAATCAAGGTTTCCATGGTAGTTACCATTGGTAGCAAGTTACCATCAATGGTAAGTTTTGTGCAAAGGGCTCTAGTCTGAAATCCCCCCCCCCCAACCTAATGTAACCGCCTGCCATCAAATCTCTTTTTACACTGTCATTCATACATATTGTCATATCAGTTTATTCATAAATGAATATAATATGAAAACTATATTCGCAACATCAATCTTTGCCATAACCGAGTAAAACCCCTCATACATGAACATGCATTTCGTTTTTTCACAGGTCTCTAATTTTGACGGTGGAGCGCCGCCCGACTACACCAAAACCATCACGGGTCGCAAGCGGTTCTGGTACCCGGCCATCGCGGGAGGGATCGTGCACATACCCGGCTACATGAGACATTTCTAAACAGGGATGTGCAAATTGAACTTTGACAAAGGAACAAAATCCATTACGCTTGTTAGCTACTAGAGCAGGAACCATGCAGGGTTTTTTCCGGATAGGCCACACGCTTTGAATAATAACACCGCAAGTTGTCTCATTTTCCCCCCGTTTTGAAGAAATGCAGCGATCATACTGTAAGACACACATTTCAGCAGCTAAAATCAACTATGCTATCATTTATTGCAGTTTTTCTAATATCAACCGTTAGATGAAATCATATTTGTTTAGCCAGTGAAGGGAAAATGATAAGTTGAAGGCCGACATAAAAGTTAAATCAATCTTTACAGAGTGATTTTGTGATATAAAATTTGTGATATAAAATGTAAAACGATGACATAGAAGGTAGATGTTTTCCCAAATTCTATTTACAGCAACTCTTAAATATTGAATATAAGATTGAACATCTTTATACATGTATTTAAAACTAAATAACAATAGTTTTACCATCTGTATATATGAATATGCATTATACACAACGTGAGGATATGTGCAATCATAAAAATAAACATGTAGACTTTGATGTAAGTTTCTGTTATAAAAGAACCATTTTTTATTAATTTTTCTTCTTTTCAATGGTTCTCCACAGAAGACCAGAGAAATAAAGTGTATTCCAATCACGAATAATACAATTTAGAACATATTTTCAGATTTTGTCTCTTCTTCTCCTCCTCAAATATACTGTATTATCATACAATACCATTCTCACATTTCACAACATAAATTATACTTTTCCGCTCGAGACAATTAATTTAGCCCGAGAATCACAAGAATGATAAAAATGTGTTCTTGATGAAACGAGAACGAAAAAAATTAAGAAAACACAAATCTCGATATATATTTGGACATTTCTCACACATAAAGGATTAGTATTTTATAAATGGTAAACATTTGTTTTCTATGTAAGGCTGTTATAAACCTAAGGATAAAGAAAAATTGGTAAGAACACTCAATTTATGGAGATGAGATCCATATAAAAGGGAGATGGCAGCGAGTAATAAACCCTATTAAATTTAGAAACATTTTTAATTTCATGGTTGAATGCTTTCATCAGATTAAGAAATGAGTTTATTGACATGTCTGAAAACAGGGACGGGTCAAAGACCAGGGGGCGTTTCACAAAACTTGTCATCAGAGACAAATGACAGTTTTTGTAATAAGCTACTGAAATCCTAGCTTCTGATTGGTTATCAGCAGATTTGTCACTGATTTTTGTCATTTGTAATTGAAAAAAGGCTTTGTGAAACGGGTCACAGTTGTCCGACATTCACAACGCAGAGGCAGGAAATGTCAGAAAACTAGCAGCTAGCTTCAGTCTGCCTGCACATGTCTGAGGGGGGTGTTTGGACATGCACAGTGAAACTGTCACACAGGTCAAATATATTTACTTCCGACTACTTTTCACTTAAATTCACATGGTCTTCCGTCTTCAGGTGCAGAATTTCTCAGCATTAATGCATACACATACAAAACGATTGCAAAGGAAACACCCTCAATTCATTTTTGGAATGTTTCCCATTCATTCCCTCAAATGACCCTCTGACATTCTTGAATGGATACATGCAATTATATATCTACGAAGCAGATAATTTAAAAATATAACAAATATTAGGCTAATTTGGGAAATTTAAAGCTGAAATGTAGCAGAAGGGTAATCTAGTAATGATCAAGGATCTTTTAAAATTGTCTGCTGATAGCCAAAAATTAAGTGTTTAATACAGTGAGGTTAACTTCAAAAAAATACTGTTAACAATGTTTTGGTCAGTATATATGACTTTATTTGACAGTGCTTTGAGCACTGTTCCCCATCACTTGGTACCTTAAACACGACTTAATACTGTTATCACGGTTTACCCAATGAGTCTTAGGATTGCTGTTTGTGGCTATTTAGTGGCTATAATATGATGTGATAAAACTGCCTCAAAAACCTGCTTCGGCACATTTCGTATTCCCATTTCATTATCTCCTATTCTGGGCTGTTTCATAAAACTTGTTATTCATAACGAATGCTACATTTCTACGACAAATTTGCTCTCAGCCAATCAGATGCCATCATTTCATTAGCTTATAACAATTTTGGGCCAAGTTTTATGAAACAGTGTCTCATTCCAACTCTCAACAGGCAATTGGAGCCAAACGATAGATACACCATTCTCCATGGGTTAAAATAATAAAGAACACAATCTTAGTAAAAGAGGGTGGGGGGGGGGGGGGGATCTGGCCCGACAAGAGAACATTTTGTTTAGTCAACATAAACAGGCATTGCTGAGCAACAAACCTCAGACCAAACTCGTAGATACACATGTTACCAGTCAAAAGTGATTGATACGCATACTCTTGAAGTATACAATATATGAAAAAATATACAAAAATCACATGAGATATATGTATACAGTTGAATCAATGAAATTCATAACCCTGTTAATAATATAACAAGAATTTGAAAGAAAGACCATTTGGAGTTTTATAACGAAGAAGAGATTCAATTTGGTCAGATTTAAATATTTCCTTTCAAAAGCTGATTTAATTCATTTTTACAATAGAATTGCCAATTCACAAATGATCTAATATGATTTGTCGAGATGTGGTCTGAATTTAGTTATCAATTATTCCATTCATGCAAGTTAACTAACAGTAACATGCTTTATGTTTCAAATGTTTTACTCCATCAGTTTAAGAAAGCAAGAATACTACAGTTTTAAAGCAAAACAGCTATGAAGATATGTGATTATAAACGCAAGCAAGCAGTAAAAAATAAAATTAAACATTCGCATGGCTTTGACTACCCTTTAGACTATTTTTCCCAGCGGAGAAAAAAATCAAGTAAAAAATCATTTATATTGCAAAGAAGCCATGTAATCTAGCTTACTTAATCCTATTTGATGAAACTCTATGACAGATAGGTAGTTGACAACTTTTTAAAAGCTATTCCATAACGTATTCTTACAATCACAAAGTACCTGTCATACAAATTTGGCTCCATGCAGACATGTCCCATAGGATATCATTCAAAAACAGTACTTTTCAAATCAGTTTTAAACAACATTTATACTCACTTTTAATTGACGGCCCTGTTATATTCATTTATTATACAGTCAAACCTGTCTACAGCGACCGCCCAAGGGAAACACAAAAAGTGATCTTTGTAGACAGATGGTCTTTGTAGACAGGTTCCTTTAGTACATGTTTCAATGAGAAACCAATTTCAAGGGAGACCCCAAATGTGCTTGTTGTAGTTCGATGAACTGCCGAGTGATTTTGAGTTCGGTGCTAGCATTGGAATAAAAACTGTACTCTCACAAGTATTGCCATGCAGTTGGACAGTGTTTAGGCAATAAACAATTGTGCATTCTCAACATGAGGCCCCCATTTCATCAAACTCGTTATCAAGAACAAATGCTAGATTGCCCATCAGATGCCGCTATTTCAGTAGCTTATAACATCCATTGTAACTTGTTGATGATATCAAGATTCATGAAGCAGGGCCCATGCTGGAATTAATTATAAAGTGTTCATCGCTATCAGGGGGTAACAGAAATCAGACAATCCCTGAAGACGATCCTTCAAAATCACTCCTTATATCTTAACAATGGCTGCCTGGAAAACGGCCCTTATGACAGGTTTGACTGTACAACAACTCTTTGTGCAACAGGGACAAGAGTTTTTTTCTTCATCCAATGCATCTTATAAAAACAAAAGACTTGGAAAGTGTTGGAGTCCCATAAGTTTTGTACAATATGAAGACTTAAATTGGGAGGTGTCAGAGCTATAAAAAAAATGGCATCCCTGTTACAAATACAAACATTTCCTTTTACTATTCATTGAACTGAAAAGAAAATTACAGTTTCACACATAGCAATGAAGGTAATTTGAATAATATTCTGAAATAAACACCAGAGAGCAATTATAGTGTACCAATCTCCTGACAAAAATAATTTGTGTGAGGTAGGATGTATAAAACCACACCCCACAAAACTTAGCCTGGAATTCTATAGGTAAACAGTTAAAGGGACAGTTAAGTTCTTGTTTAAAGACCACAAATGCCTTCAAAGTGCATGGCTATTGCTCTTATTCTTATTTATGACATTTCTAGAGCCGTTTTAGGACCTAAAATTGCTGTGAAGGTAATTTTAGACCCCAAAATGTGTAAAATTTAGATTAAATCCGATCTTACAACAAAATATTTTGTGTAGCGCCCTCTATACCCAAACTCAACTATCCCTTTAAGGAGTATGAAGAAATTAAAGGTACCCATGTCCAAATCGGGTCCTGTCTGCGTTCTATTCTACGCAAATGCGTATGCATGCATCAACTAGTCTACATTGCAAGATGAATGACTGCGCACTGGGAATGTATTTAACTTGCAACGTATCCTTGTAGAAGTACTATTTGAAGCTCATATTTTGAATACAGTATAGCGGCATGGAACCCTCTTACATCCGAGAGAAAAACATGTTTCGGTGATTGGTAGACTTTAAAGCTCAACTTGGGTCTGGTCATGACAGAAAATTGTCAAAAAAACTCAATTTAACTGCAAAACTATAAACTTTGGCAACCAGGAATTGCACAACTTTGATGATGGTCATTTTCTTCCACTAAACTCACCAGAATTTTGAAAAATTTAGTCTTCTATTTCTATCATTTTGAGGCATGAAACTTTAGGGAATCTGGTCCACGAGTTCAAATTCAAGAAAGTTCCAAGCAGCCAAAAGTTCTAGTTTTACAGATGCGCTCATTTCCTCCATCAGTTATAAACAAGAAATTCAATTCCCTAGCCAGAATCTGTCTCAAGGGCCTTTATCCACGCAACCAACAACATTTATAGATCAATTCATGTACGGTGGTTTGCGGTCTCTCACGTTCGTAGAGCAGATGGTGGTAAGATGCCGAACTTGGTGGTGACGTTGCTCTGCGCCAGGGCCGCGACGCTGAGCGAGAAGAGGTGCGCCATCTCCATCTCAGTTCTGGTCAGCTCTATCGCTTGGTTGAAGTACTCTTGAGCAGCCGCCATGTTCCCTCTGAGGACGGAATGAGAAAGAGAGTGAGTGATGAGTGAGAGGAAACAGGAAGAGAGGGACAGAATGAGAAAGAGAGAGCGATGAGTGAGAGATAACAGGGAGAGAGTGAGAGGGAGATAGAGAGAGAGATAGAGAAGAGAGATAGATAGAGAAGAGAGATAGATAGAGAGAGAGAGAGAGAGAGAGAGAGATTGAGATGGGGGGGGGGGGCGGGGAGACAGAGACAGGGGAGAGAGAAAAGTGAAATGGAGCAAGAGGAGGAGGAGAAACCCTTCAAGAATGAACACATTTTTTTCTTACCTCTGACCTTTAATGGTACCAAGTGTTTCATAGGCAAGGTCACATTTGCTATCTATCTCTAGAGATTTCTGGATTGATCCTGACTGCTTGGTTGGGTGCTTTCTGGATCGTTTTAATGGATTAATCAGGATCGTCTGCCTAACCATCAATTCTTTAATAACGTCCAACTATCGTCTCTTAAATAGTACCCAACTATAATTGCTCTTACCTTTGAACTTCAATAGTACCGAGTGTTTCATAGGCAAAGTCACATCTGCTGTCTATCTCGAGTGCTTTCTGGATCATTCTAATCGCTTGGTCAGGATCCTTCTTCCATGCTAGATACAAGAGACTGATAAAGACAACAGAAAGACGGAATAATAATCATAATAATACATTCTAGTAATCACATTGTGATGTAATATCTCTACATGCTTCCATAAGTGTGATGGATAGAATAAGCCAGCTCACGGTTGCAGTCTGAGCATGAGCAGATAAAGGTCATTGCAGATACGTGCTCATGAAAGTTATGTAATCATTATTCATTTATGCACAAGCAGTGTACTCCATGATACACAGGTGATACACAGGTGGAAGTATTCTTTGAAAAGGGGAAACAAACTAAGGCTATTTATGTAGCACCACCATCGCTGTTGGAGTGATTATTTCAAAATGTACAAAGTGGGACCTCTTCATGTTTTGAAGATCTGTGGATATTCGGTGTCATTGCAGCTGTGTGCTAACCGTGAACTGGTCTATTACCCTGGTTTTAGTATTATCAACACACAATACCCTTCCATATCCCATCAAATATTAACTTACTAAGGACATTTTTACATCTTATTTCATTGGTTATACAACAATTAAAAAGATAATTTCTTCAAATTTGCTCCTACTACCGAGAGTGTGGCGGGATACCGGGGGGGGGGGCAATACTTACCCACGATGGACATATGCTGTAGGGTTATCTGGTTCTAAAGCCACTGCTTTGAGGAAGTTTTCATCTGCCTGGTGGAACTGCCCTTGGTCATTGAGTGACTGTGGGAGAAAAGAAGTGGGGATAACAGTAATAGAATGCAGGAAGAGCAGCACATTAGCTTTGAAACAAATTAGGATATGTAACATCAATGTTTTGAGTATGGCGATATTTCATAACCAAACATTTTCAAATCAGTTCAAACTTGCCTCTTTCAGCTGATGTGTACATAGTGACTTCACTGGAAGAGCTTGTGTCTTTTGAATGTTTTTAACAGAATTATGGTGCTATGAATGTTGTGAATCATCAAGCACATGGCAGAGATGCCAACTTTTGGAAAACAGAAATAGGGAGGATTTGTAACTGACACCAAATAATGTGCGTGTGCATAGCGCACATCTCGAGCGGTATTACTGATTGGGGGTGTGCAGGTGGACCACTACACCAGGGTTCCCCCCTACTCTTATGCGAATAGTGCAGTGGTTTCTTAACGTGCAAAGGTGGTGACTCTCCTCTACACGGGGCCTCCATTTAACGTCCTATCCGAGGGACGGAGTGTTTTCCACTAAACATAGCATGCGTGTATCAAACGAGGGGAGGGACAGGTTAACACACATCGCAGGCTTCAGCCATCCGCCTGGGTTAAATTCGAACCTGCGATCTTTGGTTTCAAAGCCAGACGCTTTACCGACTGAGCCAACTCGCCTCCTTTGTACCCACACAGCATTCTTTAAAGCTTATCTGTACTAGTTTATAGGAGGGATTAGACCACACTGCAAGGTCACTGGACAGGGCGTTATCTCATCAACTCAGCTCTCAATTAACTTTAAAAAAAGAGGATCATGGGAAACCAATGGTCACCGATTAGGCATTGTTTTATATATAGAGGGAACAAGTAGCTACCATACCAATAGGACAGTGTGGCTTTAACACATAACATGGTTGTTATTTTGATACTGTGGATTTGTTGTTGTTGCTATTGTTTGTAGGGGGGGGGGGAGGGGTGTTAGTTTATTGCATCAGGGATGCCAACCTTTCAGAGCACAAATCCGTAATCATAAGGCTAAAAATCCGTAATTTGGAGACAAAATCCGTAATTTTCTGCGCGACGCAAATTTTTCTGCACGCTGGCAAGCGCAGCTCCTGCAGGCAAGCGCGATAGCACAACAAGTTAAATAAAAGTAACATAGTCTACCTGTTCATTAGTTGGTGTTACACGATGCATTTCCATTTCTTACTGTATTCTTCTTTAAAAGTCTGTAACTTCTTGCCACGCTTCTTAGTTGTGGAAGACATGATGATTGATATCTAAATCCAACCAACATGAGTTCAGATTGTCGACGAAAATCGACGAACGCTGTGACAGCCTGTGAGAAATCCGACAGTGTACACGGCGCTAGCGTAGCGAGGCCTGGCGCTGGGCATGGGCGGGCGGTAGCGGCGCGGCCAAGAGAGGTATTTCACCCGGCCCCCGCTCGCGAAGCACATGTTGTATGCACATGTATGCACTGAAAGGGGTGTGCTAGATAACAAATTGTCCAATCGGAAGCCCTGTGGGATTTCTATGCATGGATTCAAGGATGGCTGCGCTGCAATAGTCAAAAGTACGTGCTAAACCTTAAACGTGCTAAACCTTAAAGTGCTAATTTTGAAAATCGGCAAAATCGGCAAAATCCGGAATTTATGGTATGAAAATCGTACCGCCCGTAATCGGCCGATTTCCCGTAGAAATTACGGGAAATCCGTACTAGTTGGCATCTCTGTTGCATCACATACTGTAAAAACGAGACTTTACCTGTGCATAGAGAGCAAAGGCCTCTGCACAGCTGCTGAACTTCTTGCAGCAGTCCTCCAGCCCCTTGACGGCGGCTTGCATCTGCATGGGGCTCTGCATCATGACGGCCATGCGGTAGTTGGCGTAGCAGTGCTGGGCGTGCGCCAGGGCAAAGTCTGGGCTCAACTGGCTGCACTTCTGGAAGTCCTCCACCGCCTTGTCCACTCGCTCAAGGAGAAGTAAGAGCTGAATAAAAAAGATAATTAATAAAACTTAATGATAGTTGCCATTATTATTGTCATTTCATCACTTTTAATTGAATTTCAATGTTGATTGCTTAGACTGTTTTAATAATTATTGTATAGGCTAATTGCTTTTATCATGTATATACATTGTAAACTGTTGTAACCATTGCAATTCAGTCTTTGGTCTTTAAACAACATCAATCAGACTTCTACTGGAGTAGAAATCCCTCGTTTTACACCATATCAGTAGGCCTGTCATCATCAGCTCAAGATTGCCAAAAAAGCCTGCTATTTCTGATTTGGAAAATAATCCTGAAGTTACAAATCGCATCTTCATCAGCTCGCGTCTTCCTCAGCTCGAGACTTGACCTCAAAACTTGAAACTCGAGCTCGAGAATTTAGCTCAGCGTTTGCGCATAATGCGAATCTTTGGGCTGGTGAATGGCACCGGACAAATAGCGGGATGTTTTGCGATCTCGAGCTGATGAAAACAGACCTCTTGTTGATAAGATTGCTCACCTGTCCCCTGTGATGAAAGACATCAGCATTGTTAGGATCGATGGTCACTGCTAGCTCAAAGTCAGCCATCGCCTCCTTCTGTAGGCCCTCCTGCATGTGCATGCTTCCACGCTTGATCAGGGCATTAGCTTTCAACTGCAATGAGAAAAATAAAGGGTGTAAAGCACTTACAGGGATCATTTAACAATGTTAAATCTGAGATACACGGCCCTACATGTTATCAGCGTCTGTGATATGGTGTAATATTGAAGCCCTAAAAAAATTCTGCTTCAAAATGATCAAGAAGTGCCTCAAAAAGGTAAAAATCTTTGAGTGACCGGCTTTACCATACTCGTTTTCTACAATAGACTGTAGTGTTATGAAAACTGTTTGGCAAACGTTTTTCAAAATTTGTAATTCCAATCATAAATATCTTGATAATCAGACAGGCGATCGGCTTGTAAAATTCATGGGGTTCCTGACTGACCTGAAGGTTTATAATTATCATTGCAGCATGAGCTAAATCCAGAATTTTGTTTCAGAATCTGAGACAAAGTTACCGGATCCCTTTAAAGATAAAGATGAGTTCTGGTCATGCGATTGCATTGTGAAAGAAATGTTGTGGAATCCATCACGAAAGGTTGATCATCTAGCATGTAAGTATTGGTGTGTACTGCAAGGTTCTGGAATCATCAAAATAACAGCTTTCAACTGCAAGAAGAATGGTGTAAAGCACTTAAAGGCATCCTATCTTCTTATCTGCTTCTGTTAATGTAATGACGCTATTCAGGTCAGGCCTGGCTAATGACCCCTGACCTGAGATGGCCTTTATTTAAACAGGTTTCACTTTATCATCGTAAAACAGTATCACATAAATGGTCTCTCTATATACATGTTTCAATGTACAGTATCCTACCTTCTTATCGGCTTCTGGTAATTTAATGACGCTATCCAGGTCGGGCCTGGCTAACGACCCCAGACCCTTGAGGAGACGAAAGGTCGCTCTCATAAGGAGAGCCTCTGGAAGCTTGGAACCTTCGCTGTCAATCTCGTCCGTGCAGGCGTCGATGATGCTGTCGTAGCGCCCCTCTTTGAAGCAGTACTTGGCCTTGGCATAACCGGTACTGTAGGGAAGGCAAGAGGGATAGGTAATGACATATATTTAATTTATTCATTTATTTTCCACTTGTGGCATGGAACATCCCAATTGTCATTGATTTTGTCTTCATAGGGTACATGTATTTCATAAGGATTTATCATGTGCTGTGTCATATAAAAGGAACTCTAAAAATGTATTGTGTACAAAATTATTTCAAAGTATGTGTATAATCCCCCCCCCCCCCTTCCAGGTATCTCTCTACTGTACTGAAGCCATGAGTAAGATGGTTGGGTATTGAAATTGTCTTCCTAGTGGTTTCCGTGAGAACTGGTGATTCTGTGATGTTATACATGTACATCATGTTCTAATTTGTAGTACATAAACAAATAATCAAAAAATTATCTTTTTCTTTGCAGTTAAAATTGATTGAACAGATGTTTCCCTTCCCGCATGATATTAGTATGAACACCAAACATCTGCCACCTCATGTTTGTACAGGACTATTAAGCCTCGTTCACATATAGCGCAATTGACCGCTGGGGCGCAAAAAGGAGTAAATAAATAACATGGGCGTAGCACACCTCACATTTCTACATTCTCATTGAGTATGTAGAGAACTTATGTTGCACGCAGCTGGTGTTTTTTAATCCCCACATGTGATTTTTTAAATTTTTTTAAACATTACCAATAAAAAAAATGCCATAGAGTACCGAAGCTGTGACATCATAAAAATCAAATTTTGGAATTTCTCAAATTTTTCTTCATTTTCCGAAACAGCATACAAAATAATCTATTTATTCAGAAGGTCATATCTCAGCCAATACTTAACCTATTCCATTGGTTTTCGACATTTGGACATTATTTTTGATGATCTTTCGGAAAATGAAGAAAAATTGAGAAATTCCAAAATTAGATATTTGATGACGTCACACTTCACCACTCTATTGCTTGACGGCACTGTGTGTATGTGAATAAGCATTCCAGTTGGGCTTGTGGTGAACAAAAAAAAAAAAAAGAGATAATACCTTGAAAAGTCATTTGGAGAGCAATAGTCCTCGTCAGCAGTAGCTGAAATTCCATCGTTGGAGAATGAAGAGAAGTAGGACTGGATGAACTGCCCAGATGGCAGGCTGGGTACTCTCTCCTAAAAGCACATGATTGAAACAAGTTAAAACAGTAATTAATATGAGTGCATTGGTATTGTGTAAGGATTACCACTAAAATGAATGGAAGTGTTTAGATTTTCAATGTCACATATTTCTTTCTTAGGGGGGGGGGGGTGAGGGAGAAGAGAGAGAGAGAGAACACTTGAACAGATGTCCTCATATTCATAAATTTGAAATGTGAAATAAAATATGCAATTATGATTTAAGATAAGGCCTAAAAAAAAAAAAGATGTTGTATTGCCCTTTGCGACCGACCAAAAAATCTTGAAATCTACGGTCGGCTTTTTAAAAAAAAATTGAAGCTTTCAAAACTGAGAAATATCAGCCCAAAGAGGGAGAAAAAAAAAAGTTTAAAAAAAAGAAGAGATATCCGACCGACCGACCCATGTTTTGGCACCTAAAGGGGAATACAACATCTTTTTTCTTAGGCCTAACTGCAACAATACCTAAACAGAGCATCAAATTCATTTTCAATATCACTCAATGGACCAGTCGAAAGCAAGAATATTACCTTACAGTCCTCATCTCTTTTTTTAAATGTTTACATGCGCTGAGTTTATTATGTACTTCCTCATGAGCAGACTGTACCTATTAAGTGGATTACTGTTAAACAAAACAGTTATTAACCCTCTGCTTACTGGAACCGAGTGGTTCCTGTATTAACCCAGTTAGAATGAGAGAATTCAGTACTCAACAGGTTAATTTAGCATACCGTGTATTTCTCTGCAGCTTTCTCCTTGCCGATCTCCTTGAGCATCTTGTCGGCAAGAAACATGCCTTGCTGGTGCGAAAAACCTTCCAGGAGACACACTGCAGTTGCGTCTATAGAGGGAGACAAATAATGGAATGGTCAGTGGTCTTTCAAGTGGCCAAAGCTTTAGCAGGATATAATACTGCAGACGACTGCTAAAACACAGCAACACATGACACAATCACTGAAGAGGTTCATCTGATAGGTGTCGTAACTTCAAAATTTGTTTTTTGTTCACAATTAATTATTCACAATCAGTCAAAACATTACTAGTTACGATAATATTCTGATCCCGGGAAAAGTTTGTTTAATTTTTTTCATTTCATACATGTAACCCTTTCAACATGTTTAAAACGTGCAATGTCACGCTTTTGTTGTTGTTGTGTGAACCGTTTTAAGCAAAACAATATATTTTTTTTTTAAAGATAAAGTTGAGTTCTGGAAGCTTTCACTTGCGTGCCTCAAGCCTCTTCAGACCTATGTCATAGCTGTGGCTGTTGCTAATGCAGTACGACGAACGTGACTGAACACGACACATCCATGAACAGAGACTTAGGACAATATAATCTTTCCACAGCGTACGATCCCATTCTACCATATAACGCCATACTACATAATTAGCAACAGTGACAGCTATGAAAAAAGAATAAATTTTCAACCTCCCACAATCGTATTGAAGCTATTCTTGAGTTCTGGATATGGAACTGTATTTTAGCCAGTCCCTATTTGACAGGTGCACAATTGCTAATCCCACTACAATGACATTTGCATACTACCCATTCAACACCTGGGTCGAGAGATGCTATGTAGGTAAAATGCCTTGTAATGCTCAAGGGTCAAACCATGACCTTTGAACCCTAGTCAAATGATAAAACCACTTGACGACAACACCTCCATATGCCAGTAGGCTTAATCTTGGGGTTTACACATAGCTTTAAATTCAACAAATAAAAAAAGGGTAACCTACCTTCCAAACACTTCATTTTTCATTCATCATTTCAAAGGCCTTTGCTCGGCGGAAGAGGGCCTTCACGTATCTATTGTTGAGCTCCAAGGCATTGTTACAATCCTCCACTACCTGGGCATGGTTGCTCTGAAAAGGCAAATCAAAAAAGAAAAACACAACACAAATGGTTAATACTTGGCATCTACATGTAGGTCAACAAAACAAATAATTGAAGTGTAGTCCCTGGAAAAACATATATCTAAAATTAAAGAAATGTACAATACTACCAGTATACATTATACATTCTTCACCTACATGTACATCACCAAACACAAAATTGGATGGTAGTACATGAAATATACATCCAAGATGAACGATTAATTGGGAGCTTGAATGTCAACAAGATATTTCACCAGAGGGCAGAAAAGCCATCCAACAGGAACACCCTCTTACCATCGCTCCTTATCAATTTTCAAGGCCAAGGGGTAGTTGTTCTTCGATTACAGTCAAGAAACAGTTGTGGTATGAAAATTTTGCAGTGTACCTCACAAAATCGTAAATTTCTCTGATAGTACTTTTTTTTTTTTTGGGGGGGGGGGGGGGGGGGGGGGAGGTATTGGCTCCTGCCGAATGTCTCCACATAAGTCATACAATGGTTTTCACAAGCCAAGGGGTATTTGTACAAGTTTAGTAAAATGGGCGGCATCAACATTTGTACACTAATGATAATCATGATACACATTTTTTTAGCATAAACAACTTCTATAAATTTCAATTAATAAAATGTCAATGTTATGATTCATTAAATTCATGGTATAAAGTTTTCAATATATAAATCAATCACTCAACAACAACAAAAATCTGATAATTCAGGCTGACAGTCAGGCTATTTTTCAAGATGCTGGCAATTTTTTGAATATTTAAAAAAAATAATATATATATATATATATATATATATCACTTAAAGGTACTATGTCCCATTTGCAGGCCAAAAAAATGAAAAAGTTAAATTCCAACTGCATTTGAAAGATAATACTAATTTAGAACTTCCCTAAAAAAGGTGGGGCTTGAAAATGTCTTCAAGTGGGAAAATAACGACTATTAGTTATCAAATTGACTTTAGGGCTATAGAGCCCAAAAGTAATAGTCTTGATTTTCAGACAATTGTACCTAACGGTCATACGTTTTATGCTGCGCAAAGATTCAATCAGTTTAATCTTGGCCATCACAAGAAGTGGGTTATTGATGTAGACAAATGCTCATGTACCCTTTACAACTCTTTTCATGTACGTTATTACCAAAGAAGAAAAAAAGTCAGTCAGTCACTCAAGAGTGTCTGACAGTGAAGTCTAGCAAGTAAACGGGTTTCCTTGCATAATTTGAATATGAGGACACTGCTAACGTTTAAATTTCACAGATAGGACATACATGGCATATTCATAATTCCTGCAAAGTTCTACAGCATTTGAGGTTGGCTGCAAAAGGGACATAGTACTTTTAAAGGTAAAGACCAGTTATGTTCATGCGATTGCATTGTGAAAGAAACATTGTGGAATCGATCAGAAAAGGTTGATCATCTAGCATCTAGCATCTGCAAGGTTCTGGAATCATCAAAATGATAAGAAATTTGGCCCATTCTTCGTAAAGTTACAAGCACTATACACAGAAATATGTATATGGGACTACCCTATATCTCTCACAGACCATGAGAGAAACAAATTTACCAAGTATATGAATTAGTAGGCAGTTTCCCGGCAAATTTTATATCATCATGTATTAGTCAAAACATATTCTTTCACATGATTGGTAATGAGAGCTTCCATTTCATTTTTTGAAATTGGGGCGTTTCCAATACTGGTCTTTACCTTTAACAGTGTTTTTTATATTTTTTCTTTATTATTTAAAAAAGAAAGAAAGGAGAAAAAAAGGAGGTGCCCCCCTAAAAGGAAGCAGGCAGGGACGCTAAACATGTATTTTTAATGGCTTACCATTTGTTCATGTGCAGCCGCTTTATTCTGATAGAACGTGGATAGATCCTTGAGGTTGTCCCTGGGGCAGATCTCAATGGCTTGGGAATAAAGCTTGATGGCTTGCTCGTAGTGACCCGCCTTGAAGTACTTGTTGCCTCGTAGCTTGGCTGCCTGTGCTTGCTCTATAGGGGTCTGGTGGTGAGAAGACAACGCGTAAGGATTAACTCTTTATTCAATGCGTGCCAAACAAATAATCACCCTGTGCCAATTTGTATTTACCATGGAATAGATACACCTACAGATTCAAATCACCAAGCCACCAAGCCCATGCGGCTTAATATACCAATGGCAATAGAGGTGGAAAGGAAACATCACACACACAAAAAATCAACAAAAAAAATCCAAGGCAAAGGTGTTTTAATATTTTTACAAGGTTCGTCATGTGTGGGAATGGGCGATTAAAGTAGGGGAATGGGGGCGCAGGTCCGAGAATGACGATCATCCATATAAACGAGGACAACTCGCGTCCTTAATATTTTTTGGCGATTTTTGCGGACCTTTTTATCCTTCTGTGCTCTGCGGGTGTAGGGTTCCCGATCCGCGCGCTGGCAATGAAAAAAAAAAGGATTCCGTGTAATAAAATACACCCAGTTCGCCGCCTACTTTTATTATAGGTTGTCCGTCTACCGTCTTCTCCACGAGGATTTATCCTTCATTACGTGAATGTGAAATGCATCAAGGAGCATTATCGCGGAATCCGTTTTTTCGCATCACCAACGCGTGGTCCGGAAATAAGAATGGTCCACGAATATGTGGACAATCCATATTTTTCAGGACGCGTCTGTACGCGTTTACAAAAACGATCCTCGTAACGATCCTCCTTAATGTGGATAATCCTTATTTTCGGACCAGTGCCCCTACCGATTACAAATAGTAGGGTGTCTGAACGATTTTTCAATTTTCAATTTGGGATCGTTTTTCACAATTTTTGTTTGATATTTGAATTAAAAATGTAATCAGAATAATACATTTCAAATTTCAAGTCTCACCGATGTTTCTATCAAAAGATACAGCCCCTTCAAAACGCTGAAATATTCATAGCATTTTGCTCAGAATCGACGAAAAAGACGTACACGCAGAGTTATGTTGTTTTGCTAAATTTAGCCAAACAGCTGTATCGCGCGATATGCAAGCGTATGCATATCGTACGCAAGTTGCTCAGCCAATCCGCGACTTGCAGCTTGAGCTACGCTGTCTCCGCGACATGTGCCATTGACTAGTATGGTTGGCGTTCGTCGCACAATAAACCCGGAAGTGAATGCACGTTATAGTCAATGGCAATATCGCGGAGAGTCTCCGCGATATTGCTATTGACTATAACGTGTATTCACTTCCGGGTTCTATGCCGCGAATGGCCACCTATACTTTCATTCACTATAACTGTATAAGCGCACATGTTACGCGATGTAACCATGGTTTGGACTGAGCGGAGCTCACGCCTCCCTAATTAGCTGATTCCAAAAATGTGGGAAGGGTATTTTCAAACTGTTATAACAAATGATCCCTTGGGGCTAGCTAAAAAAAAAGCATCTGGATATTATCCTTACGTCTAGCCCTGCTTAAGCCGCGGGGCGGCAGCTCAGGAAAGTGGCAAATTTGGAGCTAGGATGCAAACAACATTTCAATCGCTGTTTTGACCAAGATATTTTTAGAATTCTGGGGGTGGCCCCCGATGGGGAATATGGAGAAAAACCTGCTCTTTCATATGACACCTCATTTATTGAGTTTCACCTTCAGGATCATTTGTTATAAAGGTTTGAATTTCAAATTTTTTCATAAAATCATTGACCAATTTTGGATGGTCGCGCAATGCACGTAGACCACATAGGGAAGCGTACAATCTCTATGGGAAGGGTTTTAGCACACAACATTGGGTGCGCGATCAGACACCCTACAAATAGGCCTACAACCAAATTTTAGGTTTTGTTCATTACGCAAGGTTGTTGTGGCCGTGGGTGCCAATTACGGCTAGGCCTAGGTGATATTCATATTCCATACCAATCCACTTAGCCCTTAATAAGGCTAAATTGAACCAAGTACAGTAGACGTTTACTTTACAACAAGCCTTTGGCAGCAAGCGCGTATCGCGCAAGGGCCCCTGGCCCTGTCTGGTACCGGTCTCAATCAAGAATCGTCCCCATGCATTTCCATGTAGATTTACCTGGGCCTGTTCCACGCTGTTCTTTCCCGCATCGCCTTCGCCATTAGTAGCTTTTCCAGCGGAATTTCCTGCAGTTCCTGACTTAGAATCTGCGCTTTCTCCTGGACTCCCACTTCGAGTAAGATAATAGGCACCAAATGCAAGTCCTGCAACTGCAATAGGGGCTCCGACTGCTATGGCAATTTGCCATTTTGTCCATCCCACATCGCTCCCCGGTCTGCTACTCGCTGCCATTTTGGATTACGAAGTGGACGTGCAAAGCCATAAGTTGTGTGGTACTAATTTATTTTCACGTGCGTCTCTTTCTTAGAATGTGTCACGTAGTTTCAGATAGGAAACTTGAACAAAGCTATAAAAGTCATTCCCTACGCAAGATAATCGATTCCATGGGCTTATTTGCGATGAGATAAAAATTCACATGTAGTATACCCTCGAACGAGGGAGTTGGAACTCCCTGTTTGAAGTTTTGAACCTTGCGAAAGTAATCCCTTTTAGCACAGCAGCACCAGCAGCTCAGCTTCTGGAAATCCCCACTGCGAAACATCTTTCGACGTTGCGGGACGACTGAAAAAGGATATTCATATTTCATATTCATATTCAAATTTATTGTCCAATAATTGGAAATTTGTTTCATTTGCATGTCAGTACAAGATTACAGATTATAACATCGATAATTAGAACGTTTGACTTGAACATAGGTAACAACAAATGCGATAATTCAACCAGGGAGATGCCCTGGTTCAACATGCAGACTAAAATTCGATTCATAATTCAGACTAAGTAGTTAAATTCAATTCATGATTCGGATTAAATTAAATTCACAATTCAGATTAAATACAATTAATGATTCAGACCAATTTAATTCATGATATCGGGGTCATTCTTATCACAAGTCACAAATCATATTAGTCATATTAATTATGTGATGCATGCATGGACCGTGTGAACGTTTACCATTGGACTCCCCGGTCGGGGGCGGTCGGGTCGCTAATTCGTGCATTGCCCCTCTTTGAAGGAAAGAGCTAGGGCCGCTTGGAACCCAAATAACATAAAAGAAACTTGAACTTTCGGGTGAATAAATGAACAAATCAGGAACAAATAAATGAATGAATATTTTTTTTAAATGGGGGGGGGGGGGGTAGGGATGGGGCAGGGGGAGGGGGCAGAGGTATTCCAAGATAGATTAAAAGTCATACATTTGGTTGATAAATGCTTTTTCTATTAATCTTATCGACTAGCTTTATACCAACCGGCGAGCTGACCGTCGAGTGTTATCTTCAAACAACTGTAATAAGTAGTCCTAGTGTTCTCCAAATCATTTTATTGGCCAGTGACTGTGATCCCTCGTCAGTTAGCCGACGTAGTACATCATCAGGCGCGGATCCAGGGGGGGGCCGAGCGGGCCTTGGCCCCCCCCGCCAAAAAAAAAAAAAAAAAGAGAGAGAAGAAAGGAAAAGAAGGGAAAGGGAAAGAGGAGAGAAAGGGAAAGAAAAGGGGAAAGAAGGTGATCGGGGGGGGGGGCCGAACGAGCCTTGCCTCCCAGGCTGTTGACCCCCCCCCCCCCCTAATCAAAAAAATAAGAGAGAAGGAAGGAAAGGGAAAGAAAAAAGGAAAAGAGGAGATACTGGCGTACGGATAGGGGGTGGGGGGCTTGGGGGAAATCAAATTCAAACATGGTTTATTTCTAATTCCACAACGGTGGATTACAAATAATGCTGAAATTACTTAATTTCCGAGATTTTTCCTCACTTTTTAGTAAATTATACGTTTGTATGTGTTTGTTGGAAAATGACAAATTCCTAAATTTACAGCCAGGCAAGAAATATGATTCTTGCGATTCCTACATGTCAGGGCCCGAGGTACGGCAGGGATCGGGAGCCTCGAGCTCCCTCCCCCCTCCCCCTACACTTTTTTTGGAAAAAGTATATTAAAGAGAAATAAAATAGAATGAGAGCAAGAAAAAGAGAATAGTTAACTGCCCGTATTGAAAAATAATGAGGCATCAAAATATGCTCATCTGAACTGGATTAAATGCCTAAAACCCCTAAGCTTCCAGGGGCTCTGCCCCCATTAACTCCACCTATAGGGCCCTACGGGGGCCCATAGATGCTTATCTGACGTTTAATGCCTAAAACCCCTGATTTTTTTTTTTTTTTTTGGGGGGGGGGGGGGGGGCTCTGCCCCCTGTATCCCCACGCCAAAAGTGTCCTGCCAGTGTCACAAAATAATAAGGTATACAAAAAAAATGCTCATCGGACCTTAGTTAAACGCCTAAAACCCCTGAGCTTACGGGACCGGCTCGGCCGTCTCGACCCCACCAGGGGCCCTAAGGCGGGCCCCTGAATGCTTATCTGACCGTAAGTTATTGCCTTAAACCCCTGAGCTTGCGGGGTCGGACAAGGTATCAAAATGTGTTTATCGGACCGCAGGCACGTAGCCAGGGGGGGGGGGGGAGGCGCAGGAAGAAAAAGGAGCAGACAAAGGATATCTTTGAAATTCAGAATCAAGAACGGTACAGCAAATCGTCTTCTTTCTCTCTTAATCTTATGAAACGTCAAAGGAGGGGGGGAACCTGAATTCAAACGAGGATTCAGAGGCGAGAACTATAATCGGGACTATAATACGAATCTTTAATGATTTAATGAAACATAAAAGCTTCGGCGCTTCGCGCGGGATAGAGGGGAAACTAAATTCCGACGTGGATTATTTCGAGAACGGTACAACGAATCGTCTTCTTTCTCTAATGATTTAATGAAAATTAAAAGCTTCCGCGGGAGGGGGGACCTGAATTCAGACAAGGAATAAGAGTCGAGAACGGTACAACGAATCGTCTTCTTTCTTTAATATTTTGATGAAACGTCAAAGCTTCCGCGCTTCGCGCAGGAGGGGGAGGGGAGGACTGAATTTAGACAAGGATTAAGAGTCGAGAACGGTATAACGAATCGTCTTCTTTCTCTAATGATTTAATGAATCGTAAAAGCTTCCACGCTTCGCGCGGAAGGAGGAAAACCGAATTCAGACGAGGATTAAGAGTCGAGAACTGTAAAACGAATCGTCTTGTTTCTCGAATGATTTAATGAAACGTAAAAGCTTCCGCGCTTCGCGCGGGAGGGGGAAAATCTAAATTCAGACGAGGATTATTTTCGAAAACGGTACAACGAATCGTCTTCTTTCTCTAATGATTGAAAGAAACTAAAAATCTTCCGCGCTTCGCGCGGAGGGGGGGGGGGAACCTGAATTCAGACGAGGATTAAGAGTCAAAAACTGTACAACGAATCGTCTTGTTTCTCGAATGATTTATGAAACGTAAAAGCTTCCGCGCTTCGCGCGGGAGGTGAAAAACTTAATTCAGACGAGAATTTTTTTCGAAAACGGTACAACGAATCATCTTCTTTCTCTAATAATTTAATGAAACGTCAAGCTTCCGCGTTTCGCGGAGGAGGGAGGGGAAACTCGCCCCTCCCTGCACCGACCCCCCCCCCGCATTACGTCACTGTTGGTCACCATTACGTACCAATATTTGGCTCGCAAAATTTCAAATTTGGGCCCCCCCCCCCTAAGAAATCCTGGATCCGCGCCTGACATCATGGTTACTCGGGTTGGTCAATTAACCAAATCATGGCGATGGAACAAAGTGAGCAAGCGCGGCAGAACATTTAGATTCATGGATGGGAGAACTTGGAGGACGCACCATCATAAAAAGCGGCCCCTCTAGTACCGGCCGTCTCTAGTTTTTTCAAACAAATATTTTTATAATAATTTATGTTTTGTTTCTCTCTAGATCATTCTTTTATCTCCTTTCTTTCTTTCTTTTTTTTCTTTTTCTTACATCACGTCGGAGAGTAGCTTGCAGACGTAGTAATTAAGGGCTTCCAAGAAATAATATAATTATACCCAGGTCTAAAAAAGTTCAACGGCGATCTTGGATTTTATTTATATTTTTTTATTTTTTTATTTTTTATTTTTTAAATTTTTAAATTAAAAAAAATGTATTTATTTTTTATTTATTTTTTTTAATCTTTTTTTTTTTGGGGGGGGGGGGGCTGTGCCCCCCTCCTCGTGGCTACGGGCCTGTTTATACCCTCCCTTCGTGAGTTTGATTGTCAGCCAGATCTGGAAAAGAAGAAGGAGGCTTACCCGGGCCGGTAATGAGAATGGTGGAAATGGAAAGAAGGAAAGTCTAAAATGAATACATAATTAAGAACGATGATGAAGAAACTGATAATGGAAGGGGATGAAGAAAGGCGCTTAAAGTAGGCCTAGCTGAAAGAAGTCAGAAGGAGCAAGAGAGAGAGAGAGAGAAGAAGAGAGAGAGAGGAGAGAGAAAGAGAGAGAGAGAGAGACAATGATGAGGGCTGGATTGAGGAGGGGGATCGGATCTGGTGGAGGAGGTGAATGGGATTAAGGAGGAGGTGTGATAAGGAGGGACCAGAATTAAGAAAGAAGAAAAAGAGGAAGGAAATGAAGCGGAAGAAGGGGAAGAAGAAGAAGGAGCCCAGAAAAATATGAAATCGAAGGAAAACAAAACTGAAGTTTCTTATCACTTTGAATATTCGTTTTTTTAAAAGGCCTTTTGCGCTGCATTACTGACCTCTACCACAGTGCGCCACTGATCTCTATTTCCGTAGAGATCAGTGCAGTGCGCTAGCATAGCCTAGCTGCATATATGCATGCATGCTAATTACCGTTGGTGGCAGCATTCAAAATGGCGGTCTCACTGAAAGTCGTGAACATTCATCCGGTAGTTTTATTTAGCATTGTAGACTCTTACGAAAGGCGGACAGACGATGCAGCACGTGTCATTGGAACTTTACTTGGTAAGTTTCACGATATAAATTTCATGACAATCAAGCATCGTTTTGATTTAGATTATGTGCTTTGAAATGAATGGCTTTTTAGTGATATGTGCCACACGTGATTGATTCCGTATGGTCCATGTGTACGTACATGTATGTGTATACGGAGACCGTGCGGTGTTGCCTGCGGTGTTGCCTGTGCTGTGGTGGTGGAGCTGGAGCGGTGCAGTGCAGTGGCGCTACACAGAACTGTACATTGAAAAATATCAGTCCAATGTCAGTAATAATCACTGTTTAATTATCAATGTGTAAGATGTCTAGTAGATCCAGTCTCATTCTAATTAAATCATTGACCTACATCTCATTGGGATTTGAATACAAATTACAAGGATGAGGAAGGACAATAAACAAAATGAAATGGGGAAAATGTGAATTGATGAAAATTATTGTTTGGCTGGCTGTGAGGCTGGGGCCCGTTCCTACAAACCGTCATAAGTCTAACTTCTTGACTAAATCAGCGTTAGTGAACAACTTGTCCGCTACGTGTTTCACCAAGCCCTCTTTGTCAAGATCAACGACAACATCCTGACTAAGGAGTTATGACACCTCTGACACCGTCGTATCTCTGTCATAACTATTTAGTCGATGGGCAGCGCCATCACATGTCATTTATTGGGTAGACTATGGCTGGCAAAAAAGGACAATAAATCCTCCAACTATGATTTTTCTACACATTCACTTAAACAGTGAATTATCGTTTTTTGTATTTGATAATCTCATGAAAATATGCCATGTTTGTATTTAAGGATTTTCCCACTTAAATAAACTGATTATCCGCCTTTATTTCCACATTGTAAACTCGTCGAAGGGATATGTATTTTGCCATGGCAGGCAAGCCATAGTTTGAAGTGTATTCTTTAGTTTTCAGACCCATATTAATGTCGAGATGAATTTTATTTCAATTATGCAAAGTGAATGGTTTAAACATATGTTTTAACGTTTGAAATATTGAAGTTTTGTAATTTTTATATTGTGCTGACGCCAAAAACATTGAACACAAATTTCATTACATCGTATTTTTTCAAAGAATAATATAAGGGTGTATTTTTATAAACTACATGTATCAAATGAAAATATTCGGGGGGTGCCCATCTCAACAACAAAACTGATTCACTGGTCATGTAATGAAAAACTCACAATTATATTTTACAAGTACTTCAATTGTTTAATCTACACAAATTTGGAAGTATATTGGATCTCTTATTTCTTGGTATCATTTTTAATCTTTTTATTACTAATTCATTTAAATAATTGCATTTTCCCTAATATTAATTTTGTAATAATCTGGTGGTATTGCGACTAAGGCTAATTCTCGGCTCCTCTTCTCGCGATAATATCGATCTCACGAGATACTAGCTAGTAAGCGCTTCGTGAAACGGTTTAGGAAGATCAGAGACATCTCCGTAGTTGGCGGATAAAGTTATGACTGTCTTGTCGTTGGTTTCTAGGAACGAGCCCCAGGGACCTAGAAGTCTATACACAAATACACACACCACACAATATCGCATAGACTGTACACAATCATGTCGATGCAGCTGTAAGCAAAGTTTGACACTAGACTTACAATTTGAATTTTAAATTATTCTTTTTAACATCAGTAAGTTGAAATAAATGTATTTTACTGCTATTTAGGTGTCATCAATTGTCACTAAAGTACTGATTTTGAGTGAAATCAGTTGAGTTTTGTACAGTGGTGTTTGAAATGTCGAGAATCAAAAGCACAGCTTTTACTACACAGCCAGGATAGTGATGCTCCTATGTGTGCATTATTCCTCCTTATTTCCTTCTCTGTTCTCCCACCCCTTCCCTCCACCCCTTCCCTCCACCCCTTCCTTCCTCTCCCTCATTCCACCTCCTCCTTCTTCTTGTTTTTTGTGTTTCCCTCCTTTTCCTTCCTACAATACATATAACATGTTGACATCAGAACTGAAATTCAAGAAAATTTGTTTTGCATAGACCCTTGTAAATTTTCAATAGGTCTAAGTCTAACTCAGTAACTGAGTTTATAATGATGGTTGTTTTCAGTCTGTAGAAGTTAGACACTAGAAGTATAGTCTATAAAACCTTCATGAATTATTTGTTGAATTATTTTTGTCTTCTTTGCTTACCAGGTACCTGTATTCAAGGGGTAGTAGAAGTCACAAACTGCTTCTGTGTGCCTCACAATGAGTCGGAAGATGAGGTAGGTTGATACCAAAAAACACAATAAAAATCAAACAAACAAATAAGCAAGAAAACACAATAAAAAACAGAACACAATAAGAAGAGCAACAACATTCAACAATAAAAACAAAACAAAACAGACACAGATTTTACTTTAGAACACACTCTAAATAGCTCCTGTAATCTCAACACAACTCTGGTTAAAAACCCACACAAACAAGAATATAAGTACATTTTATTTTTATTTTAAAAGCAGAAGCATGTAAATGTTGTGTATTTTGTGGGCTGCAAGTACATGTAAAATTTTCCTGTGTAAAACCGAATATTTTCTCTATGAGGTAGGTTTATAATTTAATCCTCTTAGAAGCTGATGATCCATTTTTGTACATAACTATCTCGAGATGAAGTCAGTGGACAGTTCGAGCCTGACATTGTATCTACGTGTAGTTGCTATCTACCTCTCATCCTAACTGAATGTTCCTTTCATTTTCACTATAGCGTCATGTGAAAAAATACTGTTCTTATTTCTTGAATGTTTGTACAGTACCTATTTTTGTTATTGCTTTTGTTTCTGATTTTGTTTCTCTTCAGGTTGCTGTGGACATGGAGTTTGCCAAGAACATGTTTGAGTTACATAAAAAGGTGAACTCATGGGAGAACATTGTAGGATGGTAAGTAGTATTCTGTTGGGAGTGTTCCACAAAGATTCTAAGTCCAAATCATCTCTAATGTCCTTTGGCAAGACATTGATCTACATTTGCCATACTCCACCCAGGTGAAGTAAATGGGTACCTGGTAGGAATTTATTCCTTGAAACGCAGCGCGCGTAACAGCTGCACTGCTAAAGCCAGGGTAATTATGCTGCATTATTGTAGAGCGCTTAGAGACTTCTGACAAAGTAAGTGTAAGGCGCTATATAAGCACTGTAATTATTAATTATTAAGTTGGACTTAACTCTAAGTTGGACTTAACAGTTATGGAAAGCCATTTGTAGCCTTAAAATGAAATTTATTTCAAAGCAAATATTCAAATATTTTAGACTTTTCATAAATTTCGCATCAAGGACATGAATCAACATTTTATGCCTTAATGTGCTTTCTGTTTTTCTCTTTTGACCTAAATAAAGGTATGCAACAGGACGTGACATCACAGGTCATTCAGTGCTGATACACGACTACTACTCAAGAGAATGTCAAAACCCGATTCACGTCACGGTCGATACAACGATGGTAGATCTTAATATGTCAGTCAAGACATGGGTTAGGTAAGAGCCAAATAGATAACATTGAGGTCACTCAAGAACTAAGAAATCAATGAGCCCATTTCAGAAAGTTTGTACTGTCATGTTCTATTATTGAGTTATTTTTTATTCAATATCGATTCTAATTTGAATTATATTCATTTAGTTCCAAGTGGCATATATGTGAAGTCAAATCAACTGATTTTGATTAAGATTTATGATTAGTGTCTCTCTTATTTTGTTCTCTTTGTTGTTGTTGCAATCTCTTTCCTTCTATCAGTTGTATTATTTTGTCATGTACATCTACCTTTTTTAATGTTGTGGCAGCATCTTGACAAATTTCCGAACTTTTAATTAAGAACTGACCATTTGTAAAGCCATATTTTACTAGAAGCACTGCAGCAAAATCCCATCTAGCGCCATCTCAGGTCAGCTGTAGCAGTATTGTGCTGTAACCCTGTAACTCTTTGCTTCCCTAGCTGTGCTGTTGGTTCTCGCATCAAGTCCTCTGTAGAAATTAGGTATTTGGTTTCGCACTGTTGGCAACTTGAACATGAGATGGTGCTGTGCATTAAACAGCTCGCTAGGGCAGAAAGTTCATCAGTTCCATACCGCTTTACACAAGTTTAATGCAGTTTTATTTGGTTTTCCACTCCAGGCAAAATATGGGCGTACCAGACAAGTCACAAGGCACTGTGTTCATTCCAATTCCCATGAAAATCTCCTTCCATCAACCAGAGAAAGTAGCAAGTGAGTATTAAGTGTCTCATCAGGGGAGTGTTTCACAAAGACTAAGATCAACTTGAGGTTGGACTTAACTATGGCAGGCCATTTATGCCACTGGTTACTCTCACCATTGGTCTCTCAATTATGATATTTAGATAATATTTTTGCCTTCAATAATGAACCATCAACAAAAGAAAATTCTTAAGATTTGTGACCACAATTTGTAAGTCCCCTGAAAAACCAATGCCAGGAAATGGTAAGAGAAAACAGGGGCATGAACAACCTCCCATAGTTAAGTCCAACTTAAAGTTGATCTTAGTCTTTGTGAAACACTGCCCTGATGAAGTTAATAATTGTGACACAGTTTTAAATACAAGGGACGGAATGAAATTTATATTAAACTGTATAGTCGAAAGCCTGAAAGAACTTGGGCTGGATTCTATGGAAAACGTGTGTTGCATGCCAGAATGAATTGTATCACCCGGAAAAATTGGTGGAAGAGCGATGCATAAGATAAAACAATTCATACTCAAATTTTCAATTTAAAAATTGCCAAATTAATATTTTGTTTAGGAAGGGAGATACAGTTTACGTTGATTTGGGTTTTTTCAAATCTTTTTCCTTCTTTTTCTTGCAATAATTTATAGTGGATGCGCTTATAAGGGAGACAGAACCAAACAGAAAAACCATTGAGTTGACGACTGATCTTCAGTACGTGTCTAAAGCCTCGGGTAAACTGCAAGAGATGTTGACAAGAGTGCTCCAATATGTTGATGATATCCTGGTAAGTAACATCATTTCGTTTGTTTAGAGTTAGAATGGCGCTAACCCATTAACAGACTTAATGACCTTCTGGCTATAAGGATATGATTTCTCAGTTGTACGATTTCATTTTCGCCTTCTGAAGATGGAATTGCAAAAAACAGTGATACAAAATTCTAACGTATGAGACTTTTGTTTATCTATAGTAGTCATCAGAAGACATGTTATGATCCTACACTAACCAAATTTCTTATTTCAAACACATACCGAACATTATACGTAGCCCGAAACTTTGCACTAATCCCAACCTAAACCGTACTGCGACCCTAAACCAACTATATATAGTTGAAGAAATATCCTGTAGCAGTCGCTATGACAGCAAACATAGGGTCGCCCATTTCCTTCATTAATTGGCGCAACAAGCCAAAGTCCTCAAAAAGGCAGGAATTTTAACAGAATTATTTAGATGTTTTTTGAATTATTTAGTTATATGGAAAGATATGGTGAAGAAAGATAGTAGCAAGGTTGGTCTAAGTGAGGAGGATGCTTGAGACAAGAAGAAGTGTCACCTTGGCGCGAAAGTCAGTTACCCCTTGTATGAGGGAAAATACTGATTTTGATAAATAATGATGATATGATACAATAATAATTCTACATTTATATTGCGCACAACTTTGCCAACATAATGGCACTCTTGGCGCACAGATCAACAAATCAAATACATTATAAGAATATGGTCAACAAATCAAATACATTACAAGAATATGGTCAACAAATCAAATACATTACAAGAATATGGTCAACAAATCAAATACATTACAAGAATATGGTCATTAATAAAAAAAATTAACAAATTATATTACAAAATGAAAAGGTGACAAATGGTCAACATAACTACAGATGTACTACTAATAACCAAAAGTTATACAAAATATTCTTACTCAGAAAATAATCCTAACATTAACAGGCTTAAAAATGCGTGGGGTCAGTTTTGAAACAGGGTAGAACAATCATTCACTTGCAGTACTATTAGAAGAGCGTCTGTATTTCTCATTTCCATTTCACGACTCGATTCAGTTTGTTTATTCATTTTGTAAGAGAATTAGACTAATTTGTACAGGATACAAAGCTTCACATATATGGCACGTCATAAATATGTGGACTATGTACATGTAAGTGACCGGTTTTAAATGACCTGGGAGGTGTTTCACAAAGATCTTATGTCAAACTTAACTCTAAGTTGGACTTAAAAATTATGGAGAGCCATTTGTAGGCTTAAAATTGAAAATATTAAAAAGTGAAAATTCAAGTATTTTAGACTTTTTATAAATGGCACATCCAGAACATGAAATCTCCTTGATAATAGAAAATATGAATGATTTGAATTATAATTTTATCCCTTCTAAAACAACTTTTACAAAATATTTTCATAGATGCTAATGGCTTTCCATAATTGTGATGTCCAACTAAAGAGATAAGTTCAGCTTAGGATCTTTGTGAAACACCCCACTGGGCACCCTACTGAATACGAGCTATAATCTCACTAGTTACTCTCTCTCTCTCTCTCTCTTTGGAATCTGACGTACAGAGTGGAAAGATTCAAGCCGATAACCAGATTGGCCGGTTTCTGATGAATCTAGTTTCCAACGTTCCTAAGCTGCAGCCTGATGAGTTTGATGAGATGCTCAATAACAGTATGAAGGTAAGATCACAAACATACAAACTCTTGCTATAACATGCATTGATTAGTAGTACATTTAAGATTTATTCAAGATTTATTCAATATTTATCCAAAATTTGTTCTAACGTAATACATATCTTTGTAAGTGGATGGCTGATTTGCAAAATGTAGATTAATCTACATTAGCCAATCTTCACCTGTGTGAATTAAATGGGTATCCAGCACAAAGAAATTCCTTGAATGCTTTAGTCCCTTATCATGAGGGTTGCCCTACAGCTGGCACTATAACATGATACTTTGTATCATGCGAAGTAGAGTTTATTCATATAGTAGCTGTGCTATATAATAATTGGACATAATCTTATTATTAATACAATGTCATATGCAGAGTAGACCGTTTTTGTATTGTCATCAAATTAATGCACAAATCTGTGGTAAAGAGAAAGTTGAGTTCTGGGAAGAGGTGAAAAGTAATTTGTGAGCGTCATCATTGTATTATGGAAGTGTGGAAGAAAATCAGATACAAAATGTTCCCTGAAAAGCATTGCTCTTCAAATGCCTTAATAATTCTAAATAATGGCATGTAACATAAAAATCGGGCCGTTTTTTGTGCCACATTTTCCTGTAGTCCCATATACATCTTTCTGTGTATAGTGCTTGTAACTTTACCAAGACCGGACCAAATTTCTTATCATTTTGATGATTCCAGAACCTTGCAGTACACACCAATACTTATATGCTAGATGAACAATCTTTTCTGTTCAATTCCACACCGTTTCTTTTACAATGCAATCGCACGACCAAAACTCAACTTTATCTTGAAGTGCCTTGTTACAAATTGTTTCATTCCCATGTTACAAATACTGGTATTTCAATAGTCAGAATGCTGATTGCATATATTTTTGGTTGCTAGGTAGGGCAAGCCATAATGTTTGTTCTACCTAGCAACAATTAATGTTCGCAATTTGCATTTTGACTATCAAGATTGACTCATTAGAGTAACCTATTACTTGTTTGTATTTCATCTCTCTCATGACATGTATTTTTCTTTTCTCTTTATTTTTTATTTACACATAGGATCTTCTGATGGTAGTCTACCTGTCCGGTCTGATTGAGACCCAGCTCACTCTCAACGAAAAGCTTACGTTATCCAAAGCAGCTAATGCTGTTGCAGTATAGAGCCCAAACTCCTGTAATATAATATGGTGTGAGATTGTATGTCTGGCGACAATTCGAGGGTTCAGTGACACAAAGACGCAAATCCATATTTTGCCAAAATGAGTATTTGACATCAAAATGTTCAGAAAAATGTGGGCTTGCCAGGAAACGCAAAGACTTAACTCCACCCAACATTGAAGTCTGGCTAGTGAAACATATATTTAACTCCTCAAGGCCCAAGTGCTCAACGGCACATAAACCACTTTTTCTCAAAATGGCCAAAATGGAGTTACATCTTGTGTCCCTGACCTCTCGAACTGCTCCATGGTCGAACTCTGAATAGGACATTTTTGTGATGTAGTCAAATATAATGCACAAAGTGCCTTGTTACAAATGATTTTATTCACCTGTATTCACAAGTAGTTGTATTTCAATAGTTGGAATTACGAATTGCATACATTGCATGTTGTTTGTCATACCAAGCATCAAATAATGTTTGCAATTCACATTCTGATTATTGAAAAACAATTATTCACAATATGTGAATGAAATAGATATAATTTGTAACGTAGCACTGAACAAAGATTTGTGCATTTAATTTGATAACATTACACAAATAGTTTCTTGCTAATCTCAACCCCTGATCCAACCCTATAGCTAAACCTAATCCTAAACCTACCCAGATTCCGCACTTCAACCCCAGATCCGAAATCATTCCTAACCTTAAAAGTGACCCTGAACCTACTGTAAAATTAGAAACATTTATGACAAGAAGCTTTTGTAAAGGGATAGAGGCGGCCATTTCAGCAGCAAGAAAATGTGTAAATGTGTAAATTTTTCTGTCGTAATGAGCATGATTTAATCATTAAGTGGCACAAAACTTTCAGGAATGTTTGACCGCTCAAAGGTCTTAAGCTTGGGAAAAGTTTCTGGGTGTGTCAAGTAACTAGGGCCCTGTTTCATAAAACCTTTTTTCAATAACAAGTTTCAGTTACTGTTATAAACTACTGTTACATGCTACTGAAATCATGGCATTTGATTGGCTAAGAGCAAATTTGTCATAGAAATGTAGCATTTGTTATTGATAACAAGCTTTATGAAACTGGGACCCAGAACCAAATTTCAAACCAATCATCGATGGAATTAAATGTTCATTTTATTTGAGGAAAAAAAAAAGGGAACAAATATCATTGATAACTATAATTCAAGTAGTATCATTCACAAGCCTTAAAATGCTATCTTTATGTAGAAAATCAGAAACTGCATTTAAAAATGAATGAGTGTGCAGACATGGGAACCTTTGTATTTGCAATGTCAAAATGACGTAGCCACCTTTTCTTGTGAAAATGCTTGAATATTTATGACATTTACGGTAAACTTACTTTCTAGAATAAAAGGAATTGTATGAGATCAAGCAAAAGACAAATTTATGATGGAAATTTCTTGTCAACTTCAAGTGAAATGGCAGACATAGGGTTCCCATTTGTACAGTTATCTCTCTGGTATATCTTTGTTTACGTTAAGAAATCTGCTTTTCATAACAAGGCAAACGTTGCCAAATCTAATAGCAGATAGTTTCAGTGGTGGTCAATAAAGAACAGGTTATCATATAATGTAGTCCCAAACATTACCACATGCTATCTGAAATTATCATTCTTTTAATTTCTTGTAGGCTATAAATTAGGCCCAAACTCCTTTTTCATTTCTCACTAATAGGAATTATGTTTTGAAATATTCTCAAACCTTATACAATTATGACAACAAAATTTAGTTGTCAGACTTGTCACAGACACAAAATTATTCTTAATGCGTACAAAGCTTTTGGAGGTAGTATTTTTTTCTCCCTAACTTCATACCATGTGTGCTGGTATGCAGATCATGTTCAATTAATACATGTACCTTTTCGTTTTCTATTCCAAAATACAATTCTCTCTTCTACATTTATTAATCTATGCTATTTATTGTGTCATTTGAATCCATCAAAGAAGAAGAAAAGAAAGAAAACAAATATTTTAGGAAGTTAGTTTAAATAACGTTATGTTCTTGTCAGTCTTCTAAAAATGTCTTGGAAGTGAACTAGGTCTGTCTCCAATGCTTGAGATAAGATGCAAACATATCTTCAAATAAAAAAGTAATTACGTACTAAATGTACATATAGTTCAATCTGTGTTTCATGCTTTCTTATTTATATATATGGGGGAGAGATATGAGAGGTGGGGGGGGGGGGAGAACTGAGAGAGAGAGAGAGAGAGATGAGAGAGAGGGAGAAAGCGAGATAAAGGAGGGGATGAGCGAGAGCGTGAGAGAGACGGGGAGGGGGAGTCAGAGAGAGAGAGAGAGAGAGATAGATGAGCGCGCACGCGCGACAGAGAGTGATGTTTCAAAGAGTGTATATAAACCATAAAAAAGAGAAAGAGATACGAAAATGCAAGTAATATACAGTGCGTCCCAGAACCCTCCCCCAGAATTATCGATGTTTTATCATAACTTAAGTCACATTCATAATTAATTAATGACACATAATTTGGAAAGCTTAGATCCTCCTCTTCCATTCGATGCAAGTCATGTGATGCATTTTTCACGCATGAGTGATTAAAATGAATTTGAAGAGAGGAAGCCAAAAAGTCATTTGGCGGACGGTATCTGAATTTCAAAGAGAAAATCACATTTCTAAAAAGTTGAGTTTCTGCCCTTTCATATGAAACCCCAATCAGGAAAAATGAGCAAGGAATGACAAAATTCTGTTTGTTTAAAGTAGTGCTTGCATTTCCATAATTTTATCAAACAAATTCGTTTTCACTGGCTGCCTGCCGTAGCAACAAGCAGAATTGACAAAAGACTTCAATCCGTTTCGTTGACAATCAGTCATGCATTAAGTCTTTCGTCTACGACTGATTGTCTACGAAGCTATAATGTTCAATTGAAATATTATAATTATACAACAACGTTTTCTTAAACGAAAAGCAATGCAAAAAAAATCAAAAAAAAAACCATTCTTTTATTACGAGGATACCAAATACTTTGTATATATGTTTATACATGTTCTTACTTATTGTTTATTGTTGTTGTGAATTTATGTTCAAGATTTTGTTGTTAATATTATTATCATATATATATTTGTTAAACTATAATGTCCCCGGCCTCATTATGTTTAACAGAGCCTCATGGAAGACCACCATTATTGGTGATAATGAATCACCCTGTCTAAATATCAGAAATAAGCGGACACTTTTTTTTTTTTTTTTTGGTCTCAAAATTTCAAAATTGGACATTTTCTTCGTTGGGGGGGGGGGGGGGGGGTAAGGTCACCTTATTTAGGTTAGCCGTGGGTATAATTTTTTTTTTTATTTTTTTTTATTTTAATAATAATAATAAAAAAAAACCCAAAGGGAGGGGGGGGGGAGTAGTTTTTTTTAGGGGGGTTTACATACATAAAAATACCAAAGGGGGGTGTTTGAACCCCAAACCCCCCCCCCTCTGCGTACGCCCCTGATTTGATGTATAAAACCCCTAAACTTCTATTTTTTTTGGAAGAAAAACAAATTATAGCTCACTACCCCCCCCCCCCCCCCCCCCCCCCCCCCCCCCACTGAGCTAAATATTTGTCGGCACGACTAATCCTAAATAATCCACCCCTAATTAATCCTGGATCCGCGCCTTTAATGAAACGTCCATTGCAGCAATGGGGCGATGGAAGAACTTAATTTAATTTAACTTAATTTAATTAAGGAACTTTACATAACTGACACGAACGAACGATTCGTATGTTGTTCGCTGCCAAAGATTTTCTTGTTTTTAAAGATTTTCTGTGTTTTTTTTAAATATCATTTTTGAACATTTCTTCCATTCCCCAGAAGGGGCCGTTAAAGAAATACAAATCATTGTCATTGTCATTGCTACAATATAATTATGTACGGTTTCTGTTGCCGTCCAGGGAGGTAGGATTTACATTTAAACCTAAACTTAAAGGTGAAGATGATGTTCTATGGCAATGTAGAACACATATTACGGCTGACTACTAAAAAAAAACAATTATTCTAAAAATGAACAGGTGACTGAAATAATTTGTAACAGACATGAAGGCAGGCTTATACTAAACACTCGGTTCGCGGCTTGTTGGAAAACACTCTGGTCACGGCTGGCTGGGCCATTTTTGTTTGTAATACTAAAATCGGCCCTTCACGCTGGTAAATTCTTATTTTAGATTAGCGACTATTTTTAACCATTTTTCAATGGGGGTGCGTGGGGAAATTTACTTTAAAACAAAGTTGGAAGCAGCAAGCCGTGACCCGAATGTTTTCCAGCGCGCCGCGACCCGAGTGTTTAGTATAAGCCCCAAGGCATTTGCATTTAATTTGGTTATATTGGTTGGGACGAAAATGGCCTATTCGTAAGTAGGGGCGAATTTCAAAGTTTTTTGGTGGTGCAGCCCCCATGCCCTCTCCCCACCCTACACCTATTCTGCAAGCACAGACCCTAATTTGACACTTTATCAAAAAATTATTGTGCCTTGAGAGAAGCCAAGCCCAGCTGCCTACTGATACCTACTGGCAGACAGATTCAGACAAAAGATTGAAATGCATCGAGATCACCCTGTCATATTAAACGTTAAGCCCAGCTGGCAAATGGAACTTTTGAAGCTCCAATAGAATAACAAGCAATTTGGATGCAGAACAGAACTTATCAAACATTGTATACTATCGAACCCTTCACTATATCTAGTTCCCCCCCCCCCTTGGAAAATTAATGCTCCAAACGTGTCGATAGAATTAAGCGAAATAGTGAACAAACATGAAAACCCATTTCATTTACTTCAACGCAGTTTAGAATTGATCAGTACCAAATGGCCAATACAACTACACATCTATACAGATGGGTCAAAGGTTCCAAATCTTGGAATAAGTTTTGCTTCTTTTTATGTACCAGCCTTTTCCTTTCAACAAGCAAAACGATTGGCGGATCACACATCATCTTTTAGAGCCGAACTGGCTGCAATTCTCCTTGCGCTTAATTGGCTAGAGAACCTTAATGTGTATGTTGGCATTGTTATTTTTTGTGACTCCATAAGCGCCCTGCTCGCTATAAAGGATGAAAAAGCTATTACATTTGTAACTGAAATTATTACATTAAGTACAAAATTATCGTATCAAGGAAAACACATACACTTAGAATGGATTCCTAGCCATTGTGGTGTACACGGAAATGAAATGGCAGATTTTTATGCAAAATATACTTTAAACCCCTGAGCTCCTGGGTTCTCGGCCCCCTGGACCTCACGCCAATAACATTGAAATTTGTAATAAATTATCCTTTTCTGAAATAAAGAGTATTATTACCAGCAAGTATATAAAACTCTGGCAAGACAGATGGAATAATTCTGATAGTTTTCTTAGACAGATACTGCCTACAGTAAATCAACCATATTTATGTAAGCTGAACCGATTTGAAGAAAGTATTCTCCATAGATTAAGAATAGGAGTGATAGGTTTGAACTTAGATCTCTTCAGATTGAATATACACTCGACAGGCCATTGCAATAACTGCATAGGACATATTGAAACTGTATACCACCTTCTCACTGAATGCCCAAAGTACATTATAGAAAGAGCTATGTTAAATCATGACACTACTTAACATTTCAGAAATAATTAAACAAAAAGCAATAGTTCGCTTCGTTTGAAGAACAAAGCGGCAGTATCAAAACAATTAATTTTTTTCTTTCTTATCTTCTCTTTTCCTTTTTCTTGCACCAATAAAGCCCACAATACTTGTAACTAATTTGACCATTTAAATTTCTAACAATTCGGTGGTCGCCTCCAGCATCACATGCCAGCTGGCACCCCCTCACCTATGCCGGAGTGACCTAGGTTAAAACCGAAAGTCTGCGAAATGTACCTCAAAGACTGGTAAGATGGCATTTTGAAAAGGGTGTGGGTGATATTTGAGCGCGCATGTGCGCGTAAACACAAGTACGTACAACTTGCTAGGTCATCTCTTTCCAAAATTATTAATTTATTGAAAACAAAAACAAAAATATAAAAGAAAATAAGCAGAAGGAAAGGGGATGGAAAGAGAAAGAATCCTAATAATAGTCATTTATGACATGAAATTGTACATATAATGTATATATATAAATAATTCATAAAATAGTGTGTGGCAAAAATAGTCAACTGTGACTGATTGCCAAACAAAATCAAATCAAGAAGAAGAAAGAAGATACATGTCAATATCAGGAGCAGCTATAGTACATGGCCTATGCTAGTCTTATAGTGCAGACTCTCTTTTACGACTGACCAAGGTTTGTGCCTGCAAACTACCCTACACCAGTGCTCGTGCCTCGTTCCTCATCAATGAAACATTATTTTCAGACTCATTACCCTTCGAGATCACAATGGACTCGTCCGTTCATTGTCTGTGTGTTCGTCACACTATTACTCCACTAAGTTGACGCAGCTCGCCATGGATGCGGATCATTTACTAGTTGTTTTCATGTTGCACCACCTGATTGCACATATTATGATATTTAATAGAGTAAAAAGTGAAAAGGGGGGATATAAATGAAGGTCATTCCTAGCTTATTTTTTTCTCCTGAAGTCAATTAATAAGGTTTCATCTTCGCAATGCTTTGAAAACCACAAAGTATATACCTTCCCTGTCGCATGCAACTAAGTTCAAGGGTACCTTACCACAAAACTTACAGAAAGTTTGCAATGCAGACACGAAATGAATGTACTTCATTCCGAATGTCTCAAACGTACATAAAAAATGTAACAGAAAGATGGTGAAATTCTATTAAATATCATATTATAGATAGAACCCGAATACTAAAGTTAAATCAAGAGGCACATTAGTAACAATGATTATAGTAATAATTATAATAGTAGCAGCAATAAAATATAATGATAATAACAATAATAATAATAATAAATTATGATAATTTGTTTACCCAGTGAACCATCATCAGCATCAACATTGTTCTTCCTGAAGGCCCTGTAATTAAGATAAGGCCAGTTGCCAGGTACGTACCAGGTGGAGAGTCGCAAAACATCTTGCCAAATGACATTAGTGCTGCGCTGGGATTTGAACCTCAAACTTTGCATTGAGAGTCAAGTTAATGAACCATTATACCACAACACCTCCACGATATGAAGCCATACACTGAACCTACTACCCCAATAAAATTATTACCTTGACAAGAAATTCCTCAATTCCGTGCGCTCACTTTCTAAAAGGCTATTAACTATTACCATAATGCTGATTATGGCATGGCAACATTGCACTTATATTTAACCAAGCACGATAAATATTTTTCTGTTCTCATTTTATACACTCCTAATAATATAACTGTTTTATTTTGACCAAACTTGATAAAATCAAGAATATAGCTGGTTTCAAACAATATTCCTGTGATGTTAAAACCTCAGACCATCATTTGCACATTATGTGTTATCTTGTTTACACTTAAAGTGTCTTTTCATAAGGTAAAGGCTCCCAAATTTTAAATAATTATTCAAACACAACTTAAAATCCAGTGCCGTGATTTGGGCCCCGTTTAAGGGACACTGGCGGTTTGATGGGGGGGGGGGGGGTGTTCACCGTTGAATGGAATACAAATGGCCCCAAGACCCCCATTACATGTTATGTAACCCTAACCAGGTATCAAAGAGTGTAGCCTCGGTCCAGCCATTTATTGGGAACTGTTAGGGGAAGGAAGGGGGGGGGGGCGCGGAACTGAAATTCGAATTACCAAGGGCCACGTACACCGTTAATGGGAAGATTTATACTTGTGTTATGGGAGGGTTTACTACCCCCCCTTCTCTCTCCAGTCTCCCCCCTTCTCTCTCTCTCTCTCTCTCTCTCTCTCTCTTGTCGCGATTTAGTGGAGGGGGGTCACAACTTTAACAATTTTCTTGATTTTGCATTTTAATACAGTGTCTCTTTCTCCTCATCAACTCTGATGCTTGGCCGGTGAAATCCCCATTTTCCATGAATCAAAAATGAACATTACTGTATATTTATTGTTGCATAATCATGCAGAAAGAAAGTTCACAAATGTTGTTGTATGTATAAGAAACTGTATAAGCTACAAAGCATGATGTTGAAGGATTGAATGGGCACCTAAACCCTGATCAGGGAGATGGATTAACGGCTGACTTTACAGCATATACTAATTGAAAGCATCTATTGCCAAGAGGGATGACAAATAAATGACTATTTCAGCAGATTTGCATGATAATTGACCCAGAATGTTTCCCCTTTATCCTGAGTGTAAAACATTGCCAATGCTTTGTTGCAGGCTTGGAGCTTTTCTTCGTCAGTTTGAGACGTGGACGGCTACGAACTTGCCAGAGTTGACGGGGACAATGATTACTTCTAACATGACAAAGCCGTTTTTCAGAGAGCTGGCGATGGACAAGGATGATAAGAATAGAACTCCACGTTACTGGTCAAGATGACAAGCTAATCCATTGAGTTTGATATAGTTCAATGGTCATGTTCAATGCGAGCGTCTTTGATCATTATCTGGTATAAATACCAACAGCCTTCACTGGATCTGCAGACTTGTCTCACAGAATTTCGTAAGTCAACACCACCTTCCTTGTCTTTCTCATATTTGTGGTCATTCTTTAACTATGTTTTATGTCTAACAATATTATGGTTTAATATGAACAGTAGATATGCGCTCGGTTATATTTTCCATTTCCGTATCATTAGAAATAATGCGAGTTTATGTTTGGGTATGTAATTTCTAGCTAATAGTGAGTGATTGTTATTGTATATTGGCTGGAGTGTTGGTGTCATAGATTTTCTTCGTCAAACGTTGCCTTAGTTTGTAGAAATCGTTTTCATGTTCATTTTGTTTTTTTAAGATTATTAACACGGTTTATTTAACATGCAGGGGCCTCTAACTCTGAATTTTGTTTTTTGATTTATAGAATAAGAACATGGTATGAAAAAGTCGTTGTCAGGCTATTCCACAATAATTGAAGTGTATTATTGTGTTATTTGTGTGTATTGGGAGTCAAGAGGGATGACAGACGAAATAATATGCGAGATTATAGGACAGACTAGTCAATATACGGTACACAATACACACAAATGCACACGATGAATACGATGTGGCTGATCGGCAAGATTGATAGTAGACTCACGATTTGATTTTTTAAATTATTCTCCCTAACATCGGTAAGTTGAAAAAATTGTATCTTACTGCTATTTAGGTGTCATCAATTGTCACTAAAGTACCGATTTTGACTGAAATCAGTTGAGTTTTGTACAGTGGTGTTTGAAATGTTGAGAATCAACAAAACAGCTTTGAATACACAGCCAGAATAGTAATGAAGCTATGTGTGAACCTGTCATGGCGCCCAACCCTCATCTTCCTATCACGTTTATTGTGTGTCAATATAACATGATCGTCTGACCGTCTCTTTGTTTTAAAAGCCTCATGACTGAAAATGTACTTGAGATTTGTATTAATTTTATACATCAAATCAGATAGAACTTTCATGTGCTCATTTCTTCGCAAAATGATGCCGATAAAGATCAATTTAAAAACAAACGTTGACTAATAACGGTCTGTATAATATGTTACAGTCATGTCGGCATCATTTAAAACTCTTAACTCCTAAATATTGTTGCTGTGGTTGTTTTTGTTGATGTTTGTAATAGTTAGTTTTAACGATGTTTATCAAAACATTATGCCCGTTTACTCCGGGTACCAAGGCCGTATATTGGCCTCCTCTCATGGTCAAGTCTATTTTAAGCCTACTTTATAGTCGCGGTTGCTTTATGTCAGTGGAAATTGATTGTATGTCTCTGTCTCTTAAATTACTCATGACGAAAAATTAATCCATGCCCATATTTGTAATGTGAATGTTTGTCTTACCGGAGCGGATAGAATTATTTATATGTTTGACAAAAGCTGCCTTTAAAGAACGTTTGCATGTTTAATGTTTTATCATCTCCTCCATAAATGTTAATGTGGCATGCCGGTATCATTAACGGTTGTAAATGTTGTTGTGTTATTGTTGTTTTAATGTTATCATTGTTTTATTAATGTTATCATTCTCATTGTTGTTGTGTTGTTGTTAATTTGTTTAAGTACTTTTCATACAAATTTGAATGTTTACACTTGTTACGAAGGTCTATTATTATGCCTACTAGTACTGTTAACGGCGAATACAATTTTACTATTTGTAAGTCATACGAGGGAGCTGTCATACAAGGAGTGGACTCAAGCCGCTCTCCTTTGACCCCATGCAGGGGCGGCGATCCCTGGGGACGGAGGGGGACACGTCTCCCTCAATTTTGTTTAGGGGGATCACCCCCACGGAAAATTTGAAAAAGTGCCCCCCAAAAATGTAAAGCAAATACTGACTAAAGACTGCAACACACTTTTAGGCTCTGGATGGCCTAGGAGTGCAGCGTTTAGACTAATAAAAATGCAAAAATCTTCTTGCTCGGTCGCTACGCTCACTCGCATAATATCATTAAAAATATACGAGTAAATATTGTAGAAAATCTGTATTTCGTTTTATACTATAGTTTTGATAAGGAATGTATTTTTTTTAATACAACACAACTTCAACAACCTGTAAAGGGGTAGTAACTTCCGTCATCTTCGCCCCTCTCGTTCCCTATGCTCCCTCGCATCCCCCCCCCGGTCATGAAAAGAAATCGCCGCCCCTGACCCCATGCTCCAAGCCGCCAAAATATTATGCGCTACTTAGCAACTGTTGGGCAGGTGGTGAGATAAAAAAGCAAATGAAATATCAGGATTTAGAATTCCTACATCAGAAAATCGTATCTCAGCAAATGTTCGTTGTCCGTTTCAATGAATTCTCATCAATTTTTGAATGTGTAGGGAGTTGAACAAGCAAAAACAAACTTTTGTAGTTTCATAATTGTTTGGCCAACTGCAAAAATACAAAAAGCACGCGAAAGCACGCATTAGTAAATTAAAGTTATCGAAGATTGTAACTCATGGATTAAATGACTGGACATTAAAACTCGCACAAATAATCGGACTATCCTAAAGTATTGAGGTTTCGTCAGGATCTAATTTTTCTTTTACCAACTTTGGCACACAAATTATAGGAAGGACGGAGTCCTAAATTTGAAAAATTGTTTGATGCATTATTCACAATACAATCACCATATAGAATTTATAATTTACACTGAATTTTTGCCGGTAATTTTATAAATGTGAAACTGGTGCCTGGCCTCCGAATTACCCCGCAGTGAAAGAGCGGCTCGAAGCATGGAACCTCAAAGCCAAGTGGAATGTTACGCATCCCATTGTTACGCTTTAGAACCCACGCATGCGTTTGAGTTTCCACTCCTTGTATTACAGCTCCCTGGTCATACAATCTTCTTACTACACTGTCGCTCATATAGTTGGAATATTTTTTTACCCCAATTTATGGAATTATTTTGACAATTATTTATTCCTAATAGATCTAGATAATAGTATACATTCTCAGATTTTATTGAATAATAATTTGTCAATGTTTGGTTTTGATCCTGGGGTCTCACAGTTACGAGGCCATTGCTTTGACACTGAACCATGACTGTACGCAGCGGGGGCTAGGATAGGGGGCAGTTCCCACAAATAAAAAAAAGAAAAAAATGCAATAAATGTTCAATAATTCATTGAATTTTTACCCCGGTCCTCAACATAACAAAATCCTCTGTACGCCCATGCATTATGGCCCAAGGCATGGGCACACAGAAGATTGTTTTATGTTGGGGAACGGGGGGGGGGGGGGGGGGAATAGACCGCCCTCGATAGAATACGGAATACGCGGTTTCGCTTTTCGGTGAACGCGTACGTATATTACGGAGGTATTGCAATGCAATGCCAATAATAGGCAATTTTCTAATGTAACCAAATGTAATACATACGTCTTTGTGAAGTGCCTCGATACAAACTATTTCATTCACCTGATAAGAATAATAGTATTTCAAACAGAATCCAAACTGCAAAGATTGGTTTTTGCCAGTTCTTTTTTGGTATCGAAATTTGAAAATTTGATATTTTGCTCCATAGGGGGGGGGGGGGGGGGGGGGGGGGGGGGGGGGGGGGGGGGGGGGGGGGGGGTGAGGTCATTTTTTTTAAGGTCGGCCATTGGCATAACCCCCCCCCCTCCTGCGTACGCGCCTGGGTGCGTGCGCAAAATCGAGAAGCTACTACAGTGTGAGTCCAAAAAAGTTTACACCTACAAAATTGCTAATTATTAAAAAAATCATCGATAAACATAAAATTGTTTATATATCTTATGAAAGAATGTTTGATCCCAAATCATTTGGTACCATTTTTGTGTGGTGTGTGTTCACGCCTCGAGGAACAGGAGGCATTGTTTGCGAGAGTGCAAAAATCGACTTGCGCCAAAGTTGCTTATGTGATGTTTGAATATAACAATTGGGATTTGGGTATTAATTCGGTCTTTGCAATTTCAAATAACATTCCTTACAAAATTAATCATGCCACACATATCACATATCGAATATCAAATATCTACGAACATTTGTGCGCGTGTGTGTGGGTGTGTGTGACTTTGCCCTTTCAAAAAGAATATGCAATTCATTTCATTTGATACATTCAATTCATTTTCTCACTCCGCTAATCCCAACATAATACATACTGTAGGCATCACTTTGGCGGAAGTCGATTTTTGCACTCTCGCAAACAATGTCTCCTGTTCATCCAAGCGTGAACACATACCACACAAAAATGACACCAAATGATTTGGGATAAAACACCCTTTTATAAGATGTATAATAATTTACTGTTCATAGATGATTTTTAAATAATTATCAGTTTTTAGGTGTAAACTTTTTTTTTGACTCACTCGGTATAGTAACAGTTGGGTGACCGCTGAGGTACTGAAATCCAGAACGGTTTAAGAACAAATCTACGGGCGTTCTCAATGACGTCCCAAGTGAATAAACAACCAATCAGCGAGCTTGTACCAAAGATTGTTGGTATGGGAATTTCGTTGTTTTATAACAAAGGATGACGAATTTCAATGCGCAGGGGCATTTTTTTCTAGGGGGGGGGGGGGGGGGTCGCTATAGACACGTTCGACTGTACTACATTTTATTATTTTTCAATGAATAAGTTACAATAATAAATCCCTTGTTATATACAGGAGCGTACGCAGCGGGGGGGGGGGGGGTGGGGGGGGGGGGGTGTTGAAACCCCCTCCCCTCAATTTTTGTTATGTGCGTGATTTTTTTGTTTAGGAACCCCCCCCCCCCCCTTAATAAACAAAAATAAATTAAGAAATAAGTTTTTTTTTTAATAAAAACAAAAATAAATTAAGAAATAAGTTTTTTTTTTAAACATACATATATATTTTTCTACCAAAGGGTGACCCCCAAAAAGTGACCTTACCCCCCCCCCCCTGAGTCGTTGCGAATTTTTTGGAACCAAAATAAAAAAAAAAAAAAATGTGCTCTTACCCCCCCCCCCCCCCCCTCCCACTTATTCAGCGACTGGCTGAGTCGTTGCAAAAATTTCGGCCCGATTTAAAACTGTTTACTCCCCCCCCCTTGAAAAAATCCTCCGTACGCCACTGGTTATATATATATATATATATATATATATATTTCACCAAAATTTAATATGAATTTTATCTTTTCATCTTTGATGTTTCTCGTTGAAAATTAAGGTATTTGTTATTAATTGAAAAAGTCTTTCCAACTCACTTAAAGGTACTATGTCCCATTTGCAGGCCAAAATGAAATGGTTAAATTCCAACAGCATTTGAAGAAGAACTTTCCTAAAAACAAGGGGGCTTGAAAATGTCTTTAAGTGGAAAAATAACGACTATTAGTTGTTGAATCGACTTAAGAGCTTTAGAGCCAGTAAGTAATAGTCTGATTTTCAGACCATTGTACCGAATGGTCGTATATTTTAGGCTGCTCAAAGATTCAATCAGTTTAATTTTGGACAAGAAGTGGGTTATTGATGAAGACAAATTGCTCATTATACCTTTATAGCTCATTTTATGCATGTTATTACCAAAGAAGAAGAACAGCCAGTCACTCACTCAATAATGTCTGACAGTGAAGTCTAGCAAGTAAACAGGTTTCCTTGCATAGTCTGCTAACGTTTAAATTTCACAGACATATTCGTAATTCCTGCAAAGTTCTACAGAATTTTTGTTCGGTGCAAAAGGGACATAGTATCTTTAAGTGCAGGCTTGGTACATGATACAAGTATGTAGCTTTAACTGGTTAGTCACATTTTCAAGAAAATGGGCTGCGCCCATGTCATGCTAAAAGGCATCATGCCAAGAATATAATTATTCATTTATATATCTTCTGTATATTTTCGTAAGGAATATTATACACGAAAGGGCTTGAGTACATCTCATTTTTTCAGAAAAGCTACACACTTATATTTTGGGATGAGGTTTCCTTTAACTTCTATGTGCTAACATATCTTATTCGCTTTAATGACCTTTTCTTCTCTTTTTGTTGTATTTTATCCTTAGGCCATTCTTCAACACGATTCTGCAATTATACACATTTCAATCCACCGTAAGTACATGATAATGTAGCGACATTATACAGCAGAATGTGTGGTTACATTTTTATATTCATCATGTTTATGTTAATCTTGAAATCCTCAGAAACACGATTTGATTATATGTATAATCATATGCCAATAAGGAACATGTCGAAACAAACTAAGCAAATATCATGGCATTACAATACTTGGAGGTATTTTCCGTTCATCACCGGGGAAGCCCGGTCCTAGAATAATTTACGTTTAAAGGTAATGAGTGTGTAAACAAGAACGTATACCCAACTTTGGTAGCTTAGGATTACAAATTCACAATCAATGTGATCGTGGATGTATTTCAAGGTATGAGTAACTTGTTTTCTGCCCCTGCACTATTGGGATTTTTTTCCTGTTACGGTTGATCGATCACCAGTGTCTTTTAAAAAGTGCTGTCAAATCTCCTTGTCTAACGTTTGAGATCATGCACTAAATGTGGGATATGCCAAAGTAACGCGTCGTGCATATTTACTTTGGTCTTGTAAATCCTTTTAATAATGAAATTCTCCTTCAAACTGTAGCGCTTCATCATTTAAAGATGAAGTTGAGTTCTGGTCTTGCGATTGCATTGTGAAAGAAACCGTGTGGAACCGACCAGAAAAGGTTGATCATCTAGCATATAAGAATTTGTGTGTATTGCAAGGTTCTGGAATCATCAAAATGATAAGAAATTTGGCCAAGTCTTGGTAAAGTTACAAATACTTGCACAGAAAGATGTATATGGGACTACACGAACACGTGGCGTAAAAAGCCAGCCCCCGATTTTTACGATGTTACATGCATATTTAGAATATGAAGGCATTTGAAGAGCCATGCTTTTCAGGGAACATGTCTTATCTGATGTTCTTCCACACTTGCATAATAAGAATGAGTAACACTCACAAATTATTTTTCACCTCTTCCCAGAACTCAACCTTCTCTTTAAAGTGATCCATTTTACCTAAGCTTTCAAATGACCTTATTTCATTCACCGGGACAATCTTGAATTATTTCAGCCTATCTTCTCGTCTCTTGATATCTAAGATCTTTCCGCTCATTTATCCATTGCAACATTTCACATTTCTGATGTGTGTAAGGTTTATAAGTTATTTGTTTCGAGCAGCACATGAAAGCTTAGATGCGCGAAAGAACACATTATGATAACTAACAAAGATGCTGACAGTAAATTTCTTGGAAAAAGGATAGTGTCCCAAGTAAACTTTATCCATTTTGGATGAAATGACATGGCTTACCTTAGAAGGTGATATGAGAAAAGCCAATATTGTGTCAGCATAATAAAGAAAATGTCTTTTTTTCCCTCATTTTTTTTTCTGAGTTGACAGGTTCACCTTTTCTATTCAAATGTACAAAATCAATGTGAATGTAAAATCAGCAATGGTTTTTGGACTGAAGTAACAATGCGTAATGGCTTTAACAAAATATATATTTCTCCATTCTAAACTTGGTAGAAAAGAATTTTGACAATTCCTCTTTGAAATAGCTGTTGCTCAGTCATCCGTGTCATTAGATATAATCTTAATTACTCTTTAAAATGACATATGATGTGTTAGTTTGATTCTTAAGGAAAGTCAAATGGATTTTTAATAAAAGGGTAGTGGGATTCGGTCCAAACACCAGAACCCCGATAGGTTTTAAGACCCGTTCTTGGGAAATACAATTTGATATTCGATCAAAATCAATCCAGTTTTCTTTATTTGTAGGCCTAACCAATATCTTTATCTCCAATGCGCATGGTGTGCATTGGATGATCAAGCCTTATCAGCATAGCATTTCATTTTCTATTTGTAATATGGTTACATGATATGTACTTTATATGTATTTTTGTAATACCGTTTACTCTGTAAAACAATCATTTTATCTTTGTCATCCATTTTATCCATCTGTTTGGTCTTTGACTGTGATGATGGAAAGGAGTTATTTTCAATTCAATTTTCCATTCAAATTTGATTAAATATCTCAGTCATTTATTTGTGTGTGTTTTCTTTGCTCTGCTTTCATTACGTAGATGAACATTGACTTTGAGCACCCGTCGATGTACGGTGCAGTACGCTACAGGTGCGTATGTCGGACGAAAGCCATAGGACAAGAACGATGTAAGAGAAAAAGTCGCCATGCCACAAAAACGTGTTGGCAACACAAGGCCGAGCTGACGTACGAAGAGTAAGTTTCTTCCCGCTTTTCATTTAGTTTAATTCCTTCATGTTTTTCTGTTTTTCTTTCATTTTTTTTTGTTTAGGGGGGAGGGGATGGAGGGAGAAACTACTATGAAGCTATTCCCTATTCGACCTATTCAGATGAGCGCATTCTTCCACGATAGGAAAGTGATGCTCGCAGATGAAAAACAAAACACAGGGGCCCGTTTCTCGAAACCAACGACAAGACCAGGCGCGGACACAGGGGAGGGTTTGGGGGGTTAAACCCCCCCTTTGGTAATTTTTTGTGTGTAAACCCCCCCTAAATTTCTCTAAACCCCCCCCTTTGGATTTAAAAAAAAAAAATTGTTCTTTTTTTTATTTAAAAAAAAAAAATTCCCATGGTTGACCTAAAAAAGCTGACCTTACCCCCCCCCAACGGAGCAAAATGTCAAATTTTCAAATTTCGAGACCAAAAAAAAATAAAAATGTGTCCTCTTACCCCCCCCCCCCCCCCCCCCCCCCCCCCCCCCCACTGAGCGACTTTTCGGCTGACTGAGTCGTTGCGATTTTTTTTGGCTCCCCCCCCCCCAAAAAAAAGTGTCCGCTTCCCCCCCCCCCCACTGAGCGACTTTTTGGCCGGCGCGATTTTCAAATTTTCCTGAGTCGTTGCGAACTTTTGGACTCGATTTTAACCCCCCCCCCCCCCCCCTTGAAAAAATCCTGCGTACGCCACTGGACAAGACAGTCATAAGTTTATCAAGCAACTACGGAGATGTCGCTGATCTTCCGAAACCGTTTCATGACGTGCTTACTAGCTAGATATCTCGTGAAATCGATACTATCGGCAAGAAGAGGAGCCAAGAAATAACCTTAGTCGCAACTCTACCGGATTAAACAAAAAGTAATTTTAAGAAAACTGCAATTATTTAAATGAATTAGGAATAAAAGTAAGATTAAACATAGTAACAGGGAATAAGATATGCAGTATACTTAATTTGTGTAGATTAAATTATACAATTATTTGTAAAATATATTTGTGATTATTCGTTTCATGAACGGTGAATCAGTCTTGTTTATTAGATGGGAGGGGTGGCACTGAAAGGCTAGGAGTATTGTACTAACGACCTGTTGTACTAGTATCCTCCTAAAGTCCATCAACAAGGGTAACATCTACAGTGTGAGTAAAAAAAAGTTTACACCTGGAAAATTGCTAATTATTTTATAAATCATCTTTGAAATTATTAAATATCTTATGAAAGAGTGTTTTATCCCGAATCATTTAGTATCATTTTGTGTGGTATGTGTTCGCGCTTGGATAAACAGGGGGCATTGTTTGCGAGAGTGCAGAAATCGACTTGCGTCAACGTTGCTTTTGTGATGTTGGAATAAAACAATTGGGATTTGGGTATTAATTCGGTCAGTGCAGAAAAAATAAAATCCCTAACAAAAGTAATCATGCCACACATGCGTGTGTGTGATTGTGACTTTCCTTCTGCAAAAAAGCATATGCAATGCATTTCATTTGATACATTGAATTCATTCTCTCACTTTAATCCAGCATATCACATACTGTAGGCATCACTTCGGCGCAAGTCGATTTTTACACTCTTGCAAACAATGCCTCCTGTTCACCCAAACGTGGACACACACCACACAAAAATGATACTAAATGATTCGGGATAAAACACTCTTTCATAAGATGTATAATAATTTACTGTTCATAGATGATTTGTAAAATAATTAACAATTTTCTGGGTGTAATTTTTTTTTGACTCGCACTGTATTTCCCATTTCTACTGGCCCGATCCAGAAAATCTGAATATTGTATTATTTTCCAAGCCCAAATTAAATAACACTTCATCAGGGAGGGCGTTTCAAAAGTGATCTGAAATTCAATTCATTGATCATTACAACCCGAAAGAACGACGAATTGCGAGGGAAGATCAAGACCTTAATCCTCCTCCGTAGACCTACATGGAAATTGATATGACCGGCTAACAGGGGAAGGAAGGAGGCAAAGTATTGTACGCCTTCGTCCACCATCGCTGTTTACCGGTACTTCTTCTAGATCATTCATGGCAATAGACCGGGGGTCCGTTCCTAGAAACCAACGACAAGACAGTCATAACTTTATCCGCCAACTACGTAGTCCAGAATCTGGCCTATTTCATTTTGATCTCCACCACACCAACGCTACCTCTCCCTACTTACTTGCTTCCAGCCGATGATGGCGTGATCAAGGACGCCCGGCGAAAAATAGGTCCTCAGGCTGGAATTAAAAAAAGATTGAAAATGATTCCAGGAAATAAGAGATGCAATATACTTCCAAATTTGTGTAGATTATACAATAGAAGTACTTGTAAAATATAATTGTGAGTATTTTATTACATGACCGGTGAATCAGTTTTGTTCTTGATGGGTATCCCCCGGATATTTTCATTTGATAGTTTATAAAAATACACCAATATATTATTCTTAGAAAAATACGATGTAATGAAATTTGTGTCCGATGTTTTAGGCGTCAGCACATCAAAATTACAAAACTTCAGCATTCCAAATGTTAAAAAATATGTTTAAACTATTCAGTTTACACATTTGAAGACAGAACTTACCTCAAAATTAATGTAGGTCTGAAAACTAGAGAATACACTTCTAACTATGACTTGCCTACCATGGCAGATTACCCACTCCTTTGGGGATTTCACAATGTGGAAATAAAAGCGTATGATCGGTTAAGTAAAGTGGGTAAAGCCTTAGATATAAACAAGACATATTTTCAAAAGGTTAACATGACCAAAGTGTTTTATTTTCTCTCCTTAACCCTATAAGGCCGGGGGCCATTATGCCCCCCCCCCACGATTTTCCTGATTGTTCTGGAACGCATATGGATGGCGCCCCGCCGCTCGCTGACTTTTTTTCTTTCGAGTCTTGCGCATCTTTTAAAAGATTTCTTTTGAAAACCGGACCTATAGTTACAAGGTCATGTGACATTTTGTCTTTGCATGTCAGCCCGAAAATCGCTCATTTTTTGTGATTTGTGTACAAAACATATGGAAATGTCATTTTTCCTTTAAAAAAATAGATCAAACATTGGTTATTGGGTCTTGTTTAAAGTTTAGGTGGTTGTTTTGGGAGTCAAAATAGTTGAAATGTAGTAAGAAATGAAATAAAACAACAAAAACAATAACATACATAAGTTGATAAAAACAATTAAATACATAAGAAATATGAAAACAACAGATAACATAAGGAATAAGCTAGCTCTTCATAATTTTGTTATCGTATTGTTATTCTAAATGGTGTAATGAATATATGAAGTGAAAAAGAATTGTTAAATATGAATAATGTATGATTTATGGGTAAAAATGTAATTTTATGACCATATTTGCAAAGATTACCATAAATATGCAAATGAGTGAATTTTTCAGAAAATTTGAATTATCATATTATTCTATACACTTCACTTGACACGCATGCACATTTCACGGCCGAGATCTTAAGGGGGCCATAACCCCCCCTGTTACACCCACAAATGTAATAACGCCCACAAATGTAAAAACACTTTACCCACAAATGTAATAACACCCACAAATATAATAACACTTTACCCACAAATGTAATAATTTCACCCACAAATGTAATAATTTTGAATCACCCACAAATGTAATAATGACCTTAGTAAGGTCATTATTGGTAATACCAACAAATACCAACAAATGTAATAAATTTGAAGGGATATTTTGTCGAATTTGTTCAAAACTAAAACCCTGAAATAAAGCATGGGTATAGCGCGCAGTCTTTACTCCAGACCCGGTTATTTCAAAAATTTAAAAAATCTTCAAAACTAAGACCCCATAATCCTTTTCCTGTGGAATAACACGAGAATCGAGCGTAGTCTTTCCTCCAGACCCGGTTATTCAAAAGTTAAAAAAAAAAAAAACCTTTTAAACTAAGACCCCACCATCTTCCAAACTAAGACCCGGTAATAAAGCATGGGTTTAGAGCGTAGTCTTTACTTCAGACTCGGTTATTTAAAAAAAAAATCTTCAAACTAAGACCTCACCATCTCATTCCTGTGGAATAACATGGTTATAGGGTGTAGTCTTTCCTCCAGACCCGGTTATTTCAAAAGAAATATAAATTTAAACAAACCTCCAAACTAAGACCCACCATCTTATTCCTCTTTTTTCATTAAAAAATAAATTACATTATTACATATGTGGATACAACACGTCACAATCATACGAACACTAATCATATACACATAGAGCTGTTTATTGTCGTGTATTTTCACTGTATACCGACAGGTTAAGTACACTTTTCGTGATAACATTAATAAACAAGGTATTTTTGTGGGCATTTCAAATGTTCACTTGTTAATTCAAGTGGGTGTACATCTCTCTAGATATGTGATATGGGTCTGTTACTCCTTTATATGATTATTTCTGTCCAAACTGTGTCAATGTGTATAATTTGGCTCCCAAGAGAACGGAATTAAATTGATCTGTATTCTATTCGAACTTATAATAAAGATAATTATTTTTCAGTGCTTCCATAGTTGTAGAGTCATATCAAGTGATTTGTTATATGAAAGTATGCGTTGTTATTTGCTTGTTAACCGATTATCATTTCAGACTTGTTCTTGTTTATATAGCTGCTTGAGTGTTTCAGAAGTAGGGAAAACTGTAATATAAATGTGTTTTGTTTGTATTTGCCTTTGAATAAATGTCGTTCTCATGAATTCACACCGTGTACCGTGTACCGCGTACCAATTGGTAGTCTTCAGTATAAGTAATTGATACGTTCATCACATGAAGAAAGGTAATTCATTCACGCACTCATGAAAATATAACATCGCAATCCAACGTTTCAATGTCACTAATAGCGTACATATATATATATATATATATATATGTTACATATCGTGAACATATTTCATAATCACATGCATAAAACAATCAGCGTCAATATTTAAATACATTTAAGGTCACTTATTCGATTACTTTTTTTTCTACGAACATTGAATTCCAGGATATTTGTGGGCGTTAGAATATTTACATGATTACAAAAAATCGTCGACGGTCAACG